TCCGGATTAATGTGGACGTAGCCTTAGAAACGCTGCAGCTCCGTTTTGCGTTTTGAATCTCTGGAGGGCGTTTTAGTGTAGACGGGACAAAACGGGGGACTTCAGAAACGCTGATGCAGAGGCTGACGCTCGGCTCTATGATTGGGGGTTATCAGTCATTACGTATACTTCCCTGATTCGCCAACCACTGTTTACACCGGCCCGCGCTTGCCCAGTGTTGGTGAATGGTCACGTGATCCGCGTTTTCAGTCATTTTAATGTGGGTGGAGATCAATTCTAATACGCAGATAAAACGCTGGTGTGGACGGAGATCGTATTCGTTTTAATTCTCCATTTTTAAACGAAAACGCAGAAGTGTGGACGGGGCCTGCGACACGAAGTTAGATCCATTGGCTTTTCATCCACTATTGAAATGCTCTCATGTGGAGCAGGCCCACTTGAACCACAGGGGACGCTAAGACCCATCAATCTGTGGCATAAACCCACGTGGACTAGACTTCATGTCCTGCACTGACTCAAACAGCAGTGTAACGACTGAACACGTGCGGGAGACAGCCGTGCCCACATCATGCAACAGTCTGGATCCACGCCCAGAAAAGTCATTTGCTGACATGGCAGCAACACCCTCTTTTGAAGGCTAATGAGTAAACCCAGGCTCCTCAAATGACTGAGTACCAAGTCTCCATGAACTATTGCCAAATCCTGACACTGAGCTAATATCAGCCAATAATCAAGGTTGTTCAATATCCGGACAACGGGGCCAGAGCCGCGTCTATACACTTGGAGCCAGAGCCAGTCCGAATGGAGGAATGCGGTATTGATAGCCTTTGCCCTCAAAAGCGAAACTGAGGAACTTCCTGTATCTCTCGATAATCTGGAAGTTGAAGTACGCATCCTTTAGATTGATGATCATAAACCAATCTCCGGTTTGGATATGAGACAAAATGGACTTAAACCACTCTGAGCACAAGGTTTAAGTGACGTAAGTTCAAAATCAGATGCAAACCATCATCCTTTTAGGGCACAACAAAATAACAGCTGTGAAAGGTGGACTCCATCTGAGTGGGAATTGTTTCTTTTGTAGCCCCTTTCTCTAAGAGTGACAAAATTTCCTGGCTCAAAGAAGAGACCTCCCAAGGACGCACCGCCTTTCCTGAATTGGATGGTGTAGCCGTACCACCCATTGTGAGATCTCGGACAGGTGCTACCAAGCGGCCCAGTACTCTGCTAGGGGCGTGTACCATTCCATTTTTGGATCCTGCTAAACTGCCAGTACAAGTACATTCACTGATTCCAGAAAGCCTCTGGCATATGTAGAAACAGGAAGCACATGTGGAGTGACCACGGCTGAACTTTTTGTTATAAACGGGTTCCCCAAAATAGGGCTCCTGAGGCACACAGGTAGTGGGAACCTCTGAAGCAGGAAACTGTCCTTGTTGAATGTGGGGGCTTTGAACGCCGTCAAAAGCCGCGTTTCCACCGCAGGAACTTTCCCCAGGAACTAGGAACTTTGGGGTGGTACTCGGTGTGTTTACACCGCAGGAACCAGGATCTAAATGAAGTTCCGGGTAAACATTTCCCCCCCAGAAAGTCCCTGCTGGTGAGGTGGTACTTTTTCAGAGTTCAGGAACTTTCGGGGTGGGACTTGTGCGCTGAACGTGCTGATTGGTTCTTACCACGCTATTCTTTCTGCCCGATGGCGCGTTCGTCCCATCCATGTCACGGTCAATGTCCGCTGATAACAAACGTCTACTTTTTTCTGAATACGCTTTGGGTGCTCGTCTCTTTTCTGCCGTTTTGTTAATTACCTCGTTAGTAAACCAATCGCACACAAAAGCAGCAAAGCTTGAATCTGCTCCATACAAAACTCAAAACAAACGCGCAGGCTAGGAAGAGCAGTCACACGCAGTTCAATGTAATCTTCCCGCCCCGGACCGGTACTTTAGTACGCGGTGTAAACGCAGTAATAAGCGGTCTGGGGAAAAAAAAGTTCCTGTGAAAAAAGTTCCTGGGACAAATAGTTCCTGGTAATTGCGGTGGAAACGTGGCTATAAACAGGCCATGCACACATGACCCTAGGGCTTTTTCCTGAAATCCAAAACCTAGAACGCACGGAGTGACGTTGAGACGTTGAGACGCCCGAGATGCAGTCTGCGGTGGGACAGTTAAGACCAGAACCAGGAGGCCACGATGAGAGACGAATATGCTTGTGCGGTTTGTTCAAACTCTCCAATGGTGGGCCTTGCCTCCGAGGATAAATGAAGGAATTAGGAACTGCTTCTGGGGACCCGAGGATGAGAGGCCTTGAACTCAGGTCTATCTGTCTGCGTTCCCACGAGTGAACCGGTGGACAAGTCCTTGGACTCCAGTCTCTGCGAGTGGGCTCCATGTGATGGCTGACTTCGAACCACCTCATGGGGGTGCTGTAGACAAGACCAGCGCGAATGAACTATAGCTGTTTGCCGCTTGATCTCCCTAGACCTGCATGGGATGAGCTGGTGAAAAACAGCCAGATTGCTGTTTCGCTGGCTGAAATGTCTCCATAAAAGACAGTCACAGACTCCCCAAATAGGCTGTCCTTAGACATGGGGGCATCTAACAGGAAAGTCTTATCCATTTCTTTATTGTCAGTGTGAGCCAAAGATTGCTGACACCATTCCCGCCATGGAGCTGCCTATTGCCCAGTCAGTGTGTTTGGTAGGTCTAAGCACCAAATCCTTAGCCTGTAGCCCATCCTTAGCCAGTAGCCCGTCTAAAGTCCTTAAAAGCCTCTGGAGTTAGGCCCTCTCCTTCATCCAGCTCTTGAACCAAGTCTGCTTGATAAGCTATAGCACAGTCATAGAATGAAGAGTGGCAGTGCCTGTCCAGCGGCAATGTAAGATTTTCCAACCAAAGTGGAAGTAATCATGGTTTGGGTGACCGCAAGGGCTGTGACTTCCAAGTTGTAGCCGAAGTCCGCCCGAGATGGGCCTCAACTTTTACTGGCATCTCCGACGTCGCACTCTGTCATATTAGATACAGACTCGTAATCAACAGCTGGAGGATTAATAATACGCGCTGAAAAGGGCAGTTTACAAGACTTTAAAACCTCCGGGTGGAGGTCTTGTAAGAAGGGGAGAGGCTTATGGGGTTGGGCTGGGGTGCGGCTGGTCAAAAAATCTGTCATCCAGCTTCGACTGGGTTTGATTTTGAGCCCTGTCTCATTGTAGCCGCAGCTTGTCTACAGCGCGAGTAACAACGACTAATAGTCCACTTGGAGGGGGGAACTGCACAAATCGCATTCTGAAACGTCCTGTGAAATCCGTGTTTGCAAAGTCCATTGCTGAAATCTGTTCAGCACAATCCTCTCATTCGTTATTATTGTCAGGGTCTGATGCCATCTTTAATATACATCTGAGTAGAGCTTGTGGTTATGAAGGGGTGGGATATTTTCCGAACATGCGCTAAAGTGCTCACAACACACTGGGCCAGCTAACCAATCACAGCACATTTCGTATTTCGGGGGGGCTTCATCGAAAACTACGCATTCAACCAGAGAGAGGAGCTGAAAAATGTGAAAAATAATGCATTTTTTTAGGGCTGTCAAACGATTAATCGCGATTAATCACATCCAAAATAAAAGTTTGTGTTCACATAATATATGTGCACTGTGTATAATTATTTTATATATATAAATACACACACACATGCTTGTATTTATTTAAGAAATATTTTCATGTATATACTGTATATAGATTTATATATAATTTATATTATATATAAATATTTAATATATAAAAATATTTTTTCTTCTTAAATATACATGCATGTGTGTGTGTGTATATATATATATATATATATATATATATATATATATATATAATAATTATACACAGTGCACCCACATGTAAACACAGACTTTTATTTTGGATGCGATTAATCGTTTGACAGCCCTAGTTTTTTTTTACAATCAAGCATGAAAACCTAGAACACCCCAAAAACAAAATCAAGACTTTGTAAAAGTCTTGGGCATAATAGGAATGAAAATAAAAGTGGGATCATAACATTGGCTCAGTTTAGTGAAACTTGTAATACTCACTGTTGTCTGTTTACTTCCTTATTGTAAAATTAATTCTGCTATAATGGTTTCACTTTTATGAGTCTAAAAGTAAAAAAAAGACAATAAAGTATTTAGAACAAAGATACTTTTTGTGAATATTGAATCTAAATTTTCAATTTCTATTTTTTTCAATTGTTTATTTAAATATATAAAGGCAGCTCTACAAGAAATTAAACCTCTGCTGTCTGTTAACTTTCTCACAACTTGCTCCCTCTACAGGCTACAAGTGGACAATTTTAACAGAGTGCTAGAACCATAGGACTAGAACGTGTGAAAGATCTAATAAGGAAGAAAACTGAATCAAAAAGTTAAACAAACATCTTTAAGATGTTTTATTTACATGTGAAATAAAGAAAACAGTTACAAACTGAAACAGGAAGTACTTCTGGACCAGTGTTGTTTACATCTTGTGAAATGGTCTATAAACTTGTAATTAGACTACATTTTATAATGTAATGTAATCTAATTACAAGTACTTTATTTTTATGATTATGCAATCCAGATTACAATAGTTATGATTAAATTGGTCTTAATATGAAATATACACATAATATTAAATGAAGAAATCATGCCCATGAGCTACAAGGCAATCAGTGCTACTGAGAAACTGACTTTGATTTTATTTTTGACCCTGAACTTACATCCAGCATAGGATTTAGGTTATATAATAACAAAATAATCATTCCATACAGATAATTTTAATGATATATTGTGATGTGACATAAATTCTTTAAATACACAACCGCAATATAATATACATATAAAATAATAATGCTTGATGATGACAAATATTGAGAGTGAAACAATGGGACAGACCCCACAAATGATTTTGTGTCTGGGCTGGCTCTGCTCACTTTAAATCCTGACGTGACGTCATTTTACGCCACGGGAACTACTTGGATCCCAAACAGTCCCACCTCCACTGGCTCGAGCTCTGAATCTGATTGACAATAATGGCGACGCGATCGTCTTGAGTTGCACCTCAATGAAACATCTCTCAAGAGCACATTTCACCAATCCTTTGTCATTACCTGGACTTAAAGCTCGTTTTTAAGGATATATCGCAGAAATGATCTCCGGATCCTCTTCGATCAGGAAATATTAAGTTCTGCTGCTGGTGTGATATTTTGGGAAAGCTCTAACAAAGGTCTCTTCGTCCGTGGCGTTGTGGTTGCTGCTGTTTACAGCCCCGTGCGTGCATTTGTTTCGGGCATGAAGAAATGCGATTACTTCACCTACAGCCATTCATTTAGCAATCCCGTTTCCATTAAAAACCGGGAAGCGTTTGTGAAAGTGGATTAGCTGCACTGGAAGCTCTTCTGCTGCCGTTTGCAGGTTTTCACGGACAGCGGCTCGCGCAGACCTTCGGTATCGCGTCACGCGAAGTTGGACCATCTGTTGAACGTTTGCGAACGCACGGCAAACTTCGCAAAACAATTTATTACAGTACACGATAAAACAACGATTATTTTTTTCCCTAAACCGAACGTTTTTGTTGCGTTTTTGCTAACGTCAAGTAACCGCTCACAACTTTAGGAAGGTTAGCTATAGCTGGTTAGCTAGCTATCCGGCCTTTACTTAAAAAACGGGCCGTTAGAGACGGAAATCTACCGTTTTGCCAACATTTTCCACCACTATGCTTCCTTTTTTTATCAAGTAAATTCGCTTACTCTACCACGCAAACAACATAAAGCTTACGTGTATATGTCGTCTATGTATCTAATAGTTTACTGTATAAATGTTTAGTCAGTTTATCAATATTTATTATTTTTTATGAATTAATAAGAAAACAAGGGCATCCCTTTTCTTGTCCATACTGCTAAATTGTCCTCCCTCACTGGCCACTGACCCATATGTAAGACGGGACGAATTAGTTAATTTATAACCTCTATTTTTCTGTGCTGGCTTAACGGCTAGTCATATTTAAGTTACATATAATCGCAACGTCTGCTCGTAAATGACCACCGGTAGGAACAACCGGGTCATGATGGAAGGAGTGGGAGCTCGAGTGATCCGCGGTCCTGACTGGAAGTGGGGTAAACAGGACGGCGGAGAGGGGCACGTCGGCACCGTCAGGAGCTTTGAGAGTCCGGAGGAGGTGGTGGTGGTTTGGGACAATGGCACCGCCGCCAATTACCGCTGCTCTGGAGCCTATGATGTGAGGATATTGGACAGTGCGCCCACAGGTGAGTGAAACTGCTTAACTAGGCTAGGACTAATCCGGTCAGGTGCGTCTGTCACGTGACATAAACAACAGCACATTGATTTGAACGTTTATGAAACATGGTAGCAGTTTATTTTAATGCGTCCTTGTTACACGTTACATGTAGACTACTTGTATTTACAACTATAAATTAGACATGATTGCATGCAACTAACCCTAAACCAAACCCCATCTCTACAGTAAGTAAGTAGCCTACATCATACTTAATATTGCTCTGTACTTAAATGTATGTTTACACTGTAACAGAGACACATTTAGAGTGGATCGAGATACAAGTGGATGTCTACCAAATTTAGTGTAACCAAAAATAAAATTTTTATAAAAATATTAAGAAAGAAAATTGGAATCCAGTCTGTATCAACAACATGAATGAAGTGCATTAAACTGGGGGTTTTGGAGAAACAACAGGGGATTTGTGATGAAAAGCTAATTATTATTTATATATTTTAATTAGGGCTGTCAAACAATTAATCGCATCCAAAATAAAAGTTTGTGTTTACATAGTAAATTTGGGTGCACTGTGTATAATTATTTTATGTATATAAATACACACACGTTCTTGTATATATTTAAGAAATATGTTCATGTGTATGTATATACTGTATATAGATTTATATATAATTTATATTATATATATAAATGTAAATATTTTATATATAAATCATATATATATTTTTTAAATATACATGCATGTGGGTGTGTATATATATATATATATATACACACACACACAAAATAATTATACACAGTGCACCCACATATATTATGTAAACACAAACTTTTATTTTGGATGCGATTAATCGTTTGACAGCCCTAATATTAATTGTATACCTGCACGTCAAGTGACCATTAACAACGTCTGAGAATCAATAAGTTATGCATAATTTACTGTCATTGTGTGGATATGAAATCATTGAATCAATAAATTAATTGTAATCTGATGAATATTTAAAAATGTAGGCTAATACAGGCTAATCTGACTACAAGTAATTAGTATGTGATCCTGATTACAAATGCAGGTTGAAGTCAGTTCCCTATAATGTAAAAAATACTCCCAAATATGAGTGTAATTGCAATGTTACAGGAATCAAGCACGATGGCACCATGTGTGACACCTGTCGGCAGCAGCCCATCATCGGGATCCGGTGGAAATGCGCAGAGTGCACCAACTATGACCTCTGCACCACCTGTTACCATGGCGACAAACACCACCTGCGTCACAGGTTCTACCGCATCACCACCCCGGGTAGTGAGAGGTGAGTGTGGCTTTCCTCCCTGTGGTCTTCACTCCCTGACATTATTCCCTCTGTGGATGAGGAAGCTTCTCTGGCCAGTTTCAGACCCAGCATGCAATATTTTCTTCAGTTATAGACTGTTGTACAGTGACAGGTACGACTGGATTTCAGTGGGACTACCAATCTTTAATAGCACAGACCAGTTTGCATCATTAGTAAGGGCGTGTGTCACTTACAAGCTACCTTAGGTCTCAGTTGCATTGTGGATGATGGTAAATCCGGCCCACTGGTCTTGATTTAATTGGTTTTGACTTAATTTGTACTGTCATCTCTACTGTCAAGTCTCTGGAGGAGAATAATCCAGATTTGGAAATCCCAATTTGTTATCCAGGATCAGCTAGCTAACGGATCTTGCTTTTGTGCATTACTTTAAGCAACAGTAGACAGGACCACCCAGGTCCTGATACATAAATATATCATTTTATGGGGACAAACTATTCTTTTTCTTTACTGTGCCGAAAGGCTTCATAGATGGCCAACTTTATCTACAGTGCATTATCACTGTAACAGTTAAACAAATCAAGTGAAAATGCAATGTTGTGTTATTTCACCAATTTTAAAGTTTTATCACATTTTGTTTTCCAATGTATCCCTGATATCCTCCCAAAAAGGTTTGAAGGACACATACTAAAGTATTTGGCCGTGAAAATAAATAGCCCCAGCTGCTGCAGCTGATTTTGCATTAAAATCTCTACTAGGTTGCTTGATCAGTACTTGATTTTGTGGTCAAAATCCCTGTTTTCTTTTGAAATCTCTACATTTTTTAGATTTGATCCAATTGAATAACCAAACTCCAGTCAAACGTCTTTTGAACAACTGAGCCCTGGTGTCTTCCATTCTTGTTTGGTCATTTGTTTTAATCAAGTTCTTATGTTTCCTCTGGCTCCAGCCGATTGAATCTTCAGTGACAGGTTATGCTTTTCCTATGACATTAACTGCAGTTTTTGTGTGATGTATAAGTTAGCCTACTCTATATTAATTACTTGTCAGCTGGTGTATAAAAGCAATTTAATTCACATCAGACCTTTTGACAGGTAAATTACCAGCCAATGAAATTGCTTCACGGATCATTCTTGTTGTTATCCACCACCTTGTTTATCTGTGACATACCTCATTTTTTTTTGGCAAATTCCCTACATTATGGTGAAAAAGTTGTCGTTTGGTGCATGTAGGGATACGTGGGGCATCCAGAGAGGCTAGTGAATGAATTTTGGTTTGTCACGTTTCCAAATTTAACTTGTATGCTTGGATGAGACTGTGTTCGTAAACTAGTAAACTTAACATTTTAAACATAAATCATCTCCACATTTCCACTGAGGTGGTAGTAGTAGGATACAGTAGTGGAATAGAGGATGGTGCATGTTTTTAGAAATGTGAATAATTGGTTTAAATAGCATTGATCACTCTTTATGACAACGGCTTTTAATGATTTCCATTATTATTATTATTATTTTCCAGACTATATACATATGTCCAAATTTGTGAAAGATGTAAAACACATTAACTCTTCCGCTACACATTTTTATGGTGAAATTACAAGAGGGAATCTAAAAGTGTTAATAAGTCAACATGTCATAAATATTGACATGAACACTGTTTTCTTGTCTTCTACCATTACATTTGTGACCTATGCAGGCAAAATGAGTCGTAATGAGCAAATTAACAACAATTAGTTATTGTAATTTTCACATTCTTTATTAAGAAACCTTCAAATTGGTGTAGCCAATGATTTGGTTGATTAAAAATGACTGCGCTACACCTTTTTTTGAGTCAGCAAAGTCAAGTTAAAGTTTTCTTTAACGACACCAAAATCTGGCACACAACAAATCAAACCCAAATATCTATAGAAAAAAAATAATTATTCAACTCTTTTTCCTATGATACCACAGTTGTTTGATTAACATTAAAGGGATAGTTCACTTTGAAATTAATTTTTGATATGTTTTATCTTACCTCAAGGGCATCCAAGATGTAGGTGTCTTTGTTTCCGCAGTATTTTCAATTTTGATATTTTTAGGTCAAACCGTTCTTGTCTGTCAGTCATATAATGGAGGTTTAGGGGGTCCATCTCAAAGAGCATGCACAGAGAAGTCCAAATTAAACATGATTTAATGACCCGTAAATGTAAGCACACGAAACTAGCGGTTTGTGTGAGAAAACGAGCAGTATTGATATCGTTTTTACCTCTTGTAATCACAATCACGTCCAAGTGATCTCTCGCGCGTGTACGTCACTCATTGTTTACACAGAGATTTTGGAAGTGTTACCCTTCACTGTGAAGATCTAAACATATTTAGATATACAGGAAACCGCAATGGAAGACGATTTCGATACATCAACAAACAACGTTGAATTTTTTTTTGCAACCGCGCGAGAGATCACTTCCGGTGCATTTGCAGACTGAAAGCTTGCGCGCTCTCAGATCACTTGGATGTGGCTGTGGTTACAAGAGGTAAAAACAATATAAATACCATTTTTACAAGATATTTTAACTTGCGAATTTATTTGCCGCGGTAAAACTAGTCGATCACGAGTGGCTCAACAGGTAGATCTATAGACAAACTCCTCTTTCAGGCATTTGACCGAAGGGATTGACACTTCAGCGTGAGAAAACGGGGGTATGGTGTGAGAGCGTGAGAAATGGCTCAATTGCGTGAGTCTCACGCTGAATGCGTGACAGTTGGCAGCCCTGCCAGTTATACTTTGCAGTAGACGCATTGCATCTTTTTCTCTTCCTTTATAAATATATAATGATCCCAAACTTTAGACGTTGTCTGCCGTTTATGAGGTCACATGAAGTCAAATGTATCATGCGCTATGGTGTGCTTCCTGAACAACGGTCCGTGTGAAACAATCAGATCCCTGCATGCGCATATAGTGCGCGTCATAGGAATTTAACGAGGCTTCAAGGCAGATTTTTTGCCTTGAGGAATTTTTGTAATCGAGTAACTCGAGGAATCGTTTCAGCCCTAGTATAGTTTATAATCTGTGTGGACACGACTGTGCCTAACACTGAAAACTAAGTATACCCACCTGGCCCCTTATTTACAGCCTGCCAGGAATAGCCTAGTTAACTCTTTTTTCTTCTTTTTTGCACATTGAATCTAGAAATTTGAGCTGCTGTTCTGTTTGAAGAGTTGCCATCTTTTCCACTTGAATGGCTTGAGTAACGTGTCTCCATATGGTAAGGCTATTAAGAAGTCCAGCAGTTGTTTAGACGTCTCTCGTGTCAGCCATCCAACTGCCCTCAACATGAGCTCAAAGAAACAATAGGTCAGCTCAACAGCTGGTCTCCTTTCAACTAAGCGTGCCTCTATTCCCCTCATGAGAATGGTTAGGGAAGTGCAACACACAAAGACAGTAGTGAAGCCAGGCCTTTTTGCTGGGTGTTTCCCTCTGGCAGCTGCTGTCTCATGCTGTGGTTTCCAGCTGCTTTAAAGATGCATCTGGTATCTTAAAGGGATAGTTCACCCCAATATCAAAATATTGTCATATATATACATATACATATACATACATAAATATAATTTACTCACCCTCAAGTTCCAAACCTGTATGTGTTTTTTTCTTATGTTGATAACAAAATAAGATATTTTAAAGAATGTTGGTTCTCAAACAGTTGATGGTAGCTTTGACTTCTTTAGTTGAAAAAAAAACTAGGTAAGTCAAATGCTACCATTAACTATCTAGTAACATTCTTCAAAATATCGTCTACTGTGTTCAATTGAAGATCGAATCTCATACAGGTTTGGAACAACATGAGGGTGAGTAAACGGACAATTTTTATTTTATTTTGGGATGAACTATCCCTTTAAAGGGGTACTCCACTTTTTTTGGAAATAGGCTCATTTTACCACTCCCCCAGAGTTAAACAGTTGAGTTTTACCATTCTCGAATCCATTCAGACGATTTTTTGGTATTTAGAAGAATATCAGTAACCAGACAGTTTCTGGTCTCATTGACTTCCATAGTTGGAAAAAAAATATACTATGGAAGTCAATGAGACCAGAAACTGTCTGGTTACTGATATTCTTCTAAATATCAAAAAATCATCGGAATGGATTCGAGAATGGTAAAACTCAACTGTTTAACTCTGGGGGAGTGGTAAAATGAGCCAAAATGATTTCCAAAAAAAGTAGAGTATCCTTTTAATATTGGCCTTTTTTTTTAAAGTGATGTTTTTTGCCTTTTTGTGGCTTTATTGGATAAGAAAGTAGAAATTTTTAACAGGAAAGCATTGGGTAGAGAGAGGGGAACAGGATTGGCAAAGGACCTCAAGCTGGAAATCGAACTCGGGTCGTCGGATGAGCAGTTGCGCTATATGACGGCACGTTAACCACGAGGCTATCGTCGCCGACAATATTGCCATTTTGAAAATGACCATGTCAGCAAAGCTGGAGAATCTGAGACGGTCTGCTGTGGTTCAGCATGGGGCTGACAAGTTGTCTTCTAGAAACTGAAACAATAAGAGATGTTAAACATTATCCAGGACCTTTCATTCTGGGTGCATTGCAGGTTTCAGGAGACATCATAGGTTCTAAGTAAATCGAGTTGAACAATATTATGACAATCCAACAGTGGATGCAGGAAGTTACTTTAGTTCTAACTGGGAGCAAAACTTAATATGCTCTAATGTTCCAAAGCATATCTTCTGTACTCTTGCCATTTGCTTTGTAACGTTCTTGTATGTTTTGCACAGAGTTCTTCTGGAATCTCGTCGCAAGTCGAAGAAGATCACAGCCCGAGGTATCTTTGCAGGAGGACGAGTGGTGCGGGGAGTGGATTGGCAGTGGGAGGATCAGGATGGCGGGAATGGAAGAAGAGGGAAGGTAATGCCTCAACATGTTTGGCTATGCTCTTTGCTTATCATTTATTAGATGAGTAACATTCCCTCGAGCAAGTATATACATTGTGTGCTATGCTCTTGCATGCTCATTGAAGCAAAATGAGATTGTGCCAATGCATACCTGTTACATTATTTATCTACATTTATTGAGTAGATGTGATTATCCAAAGCAACTTACAGCATACATGATAAAAGATCCTAAATGAGCGGTAACATGAGAATTTACAGTTTTTTATTCCGCAATTACACACTCTAGTCTAGACATTACTTAAACTATATATATATATATATATATATATATATATCCCACTGATTTAAAATGTACAATACATGCACATATAAGGTTAAAATTAGAGAGTTGTTGAAATCCCTCTCCATGGTCAACTAAACCTAGGGTGTGTTAATGCGAAACCATTGATGTGACATTTAAACTACTGGAAAGTCACACTTTCTGCAGTTTAAAAAGTTCTTACCTAAAAGTGTTTACCTTACCATTGGTACATGCTTTAAAAGGGTCATGAACTGCATTTATTTTTTTGTATTTTATGTTCTCTGAGGTCCAGTTATGATGTTATATCCTACTTTAGAAGTAATAAGCTATTTTCTATCCTGTTTTTGATCCTCTCTTTCTAACACTCCATTTTGATGGCCATCACATTCAAGACTTGGAAGTAAACGCCCACTGCTATGAAGGGGTAACAGTTTTGCATATTAAATAATTATCAATGTCCCTGCCATTGCACGAGTGGAATTGTTTTGAAAACAGCCAATGTTGAAAATATCTCGTTGAATAGTTTGCCAACAATATGAAACATTTATTCGTGTTGCACTTGCATATGCTTTGTAAGTCTTGTTTGTGGCAAATGATATAAATAACTTCCTGATATACTAATTTAGACTCAATTCACATCCTGACAGCAATCAATAATAGAAGTGGTCTAAATATTAAAAACTTGTACATACTGTTTATCTTCTGTGGAAATCTCAGTAGTCAGTACCATTTTTTTTTTTTGTCCATTCATTGCATTCAGTCCGAATGCAGTGATACGATGTCCTACCTGCCTGTCAACGTTATACACATGCATTTCTAAACCTTCGCACAGACATCACACATCATATATGCAGAGTTGTAGGCCTAAAGCCAACGAGCGGCAAAAAAGCCTTGTACAGTTCCTCCTGAACCAAACCAACGAGCTTCGCCATGTCATAACTGTAATTATGAGATGGCAACCTGTGACATATCAACCCGGAAATGAATCTGCAGCAGTCAGGTGTACAGGTCAGAGCTCTGTAAGGTGTTTACTTTCATTATTACTGTGATGTGATGCGCTTTGAGACATAAGGTAATTTAACGCCTTCTCTCATCTTGTAATGCTTCCCAGAATCTGCTGTTCGTGTTCATGCGTTTTGAAGATGTGTTTCCGAGCTAGCGTTGCTGGGCAACGTGGCTCTGTGATGGCTCTCTAGTATTTGGAATGGCAAACCGGCTATTTGAAAGTTCGTTAGTCGAACCAACTCCGAACCGGCACTAGCTCTAGCTCTTAACCAGCACCTGGTTCTTGTTGGTGGAAAATGGGTATATGAACTGAAGGGAGACTCTTATGCTTTCAACGCTAGCTTGCTATTGCTAGCCTCTCCGAAATGTTCTACACTAGCTTTAAAGTCCCCATGTAGTCAATCATTGTATCCCTTAACTCACCTTTTATCACCAAAAGGACTTATATACCGGTAAACATGCCTTAAATTAGCATGAATGTAACTCTACTCCCTTGCCTCAATTAGTATACGCGGTTCTATGAATATTCAAATTAGCCCCGCCTCCACTCATTCACACCAGTTGACGATCACACGTTGACCTGATTAGTTACAAGGTAGTTTGACGTCAGGAACACCAGCGATTTCAAAGGGTGCTTTTGAGACTGTCTGGTTCACTGCACTTTTAAGGAGAAAATATTCAGCAATGGTGTTGAATTTGCCCAAGGTTTGTTCTAAATCATATGTGATTAAAAACACCACATGGAAAAATCAAGCTTTTAATGTTGTTTATATGTCTATCACAGGGGGACTTTAAATACTTGAAGTAAAAAAAAGATCCAAACCGAGTCGTTTTACAAGCTTGGCTTTAATAAAAGCTGCTTTTGGACTAGCAAGCAAGTTTTGAGTTCTGAAACTTACAGGATATTTTATAGTACATGACCTCTTTTGTCAAAAGTTTTGAATTGCTCAGCACTGCTTCTCTTTTGCTCATTGACGAACCTGCAAAGCCCAATTAGAGAACAGCCATTTTTAAAATGTATTTGTACTTGGTCTGCCTCCAACTGAAGAGTTTTCATGTATATGCGCTTAATAATAGCGCACAGTTATCTAGGTTAACTTTAATGTTAGAGGAAGCAGCCATTTTAAAGTGGGTAACGTTAGGCTACTAAACTTTTTCAAATGATAAGCCATGTTTAATGTCGATGAATTAAAGGCAAAGGTTTGGATTTCCTGCCCAACAATTACTAAGACATGGTCATGGATTTTTTTTTCCTGCGACTAACCGACATTAAAATTTGGTCGACTAAGCCTCTTCTCGACTAACGTTTAGTCGACTATAATGTGGCAGCCCTAATTTGTACACATTGTCCCAGTTGGAAACCATTTTTTGTGCAATTTAGTGTACTTAATTTTTTTTTCAGCCTTAAGACCATAAGGCTGTATAAGGCCCCGTTTACACAATGGGAAAACGCAGATATTTCTCTGCGTTTTGCCCTCTCATTTACACGAAAATTATCACTGAAAACGATTATTTCTAAAAACTCCGACCAAAGTGGAGATTTCTGAAAACACCGGTTATGTGTTGTCATGTGAACTGGGAGAAACGGCGTTTTAGGTTCTCTCTTGTCGTTTCTGAGGATTCTGATTGGCTTGAATGGCTTTATCCTTAACCCACTGCCACCAATAGGTTTGGCATAGTCATGATGGCGCTCGACGGCGTATTTATGCGGGTGTGTAAACGATGTTATTTTTGAAAACGGAGAGGGGGAAAATATTCGTTTTGCTAAATACCCGGCTTTGTGTAAACCTGGCCTAAGGCTTTAGAAGCGCTTTCACATACCGCTTTATCTATATTTCCATAAGGCTTTATATAGCGCTTTCACAGACCCAATGGTCACCAAAGCGCTTTAAATTTTGCCTAACACTCACCCACTCACTCGCACATTCATAGGGCTGGGGTTAGGTGTCTTGCTCATGGACACCTCGACACTTGGTCAGGTGGAACCAGGGATTGAACCAACCTACCGGTTTGTAGACAACCTTCATGAACCACCAAGCCACCATAAGTTCAACGTGGATATTTTTAATGGCATATTATCCATCAAGAGTGATGCCACTCAAAAAAAGTACTGTTTTACTATTTATTTGGTCTTTGAATTCTCAGATATTGCAGGCCACTCCAGTTAAATGTATTTAAAGAGTGCTCTCAAACGCACTTCCTTTAAAGCGAGAGCCAAGTTCAAGCCTACTTCACCGTTTGTAATTAAAGCAGCGTTTCTGTCACTCTGATTGGCACGTTGAATGGCACGTCTGGCGGTGGAAACATTTACTGGTGGTGAAACTGTGCGCTTCCTGCTTGTTTAATGTTTTGGTATTTTTAGCTTTTTTTACCATTATATAATATGTCAAACTCATAGCTGTTGTAATGTTTTAGTAAGATTCTAATGTGTTCTGTATTTATTTGTTGAATTCTGTGACTGAAGTTATATGTGGTACATTGTTGTGGAGGAAATCTAAGCATGTTTGACTCTGGATCATTAAACACAACTGACATTTGAGGCAAGTTGGGGTTGCTGACTGTTGTTTCAAGCTAGTAACTAATTTAGTCTATTTTTTTAATGTGTGTTATAGATCTTAGGCCCTGTTTACACCTTATATTGTACAATGCAAGTGGACAATGCTAAATACAGGTGTAAACAGGGTCTAAAACCCTTTGAGTTTGCCTACTTTTGAACACTTCCAGAGGTAGTCAAACGCCTTTGCTTTCGTAGTGTAAACGCTAGGAATCGATTGATATGTATTTTTTTTAATACCGATTACTGATACCAATTTTTTCCCATCAGCCTTAGCCGATGACCGTTACGGGCTGCCGATTTTTTTGAGGCAATACATTTTACTTGTGGGGGAGGGGCAATGCATGATCTGCACATGAACTGCAGCATCTCCAGCAACACAGAGCTGCCTGTGGACACCAGTCTATAACTAATGCCGCGTATCAGCCAATTCCGATACGTTTAAAAAACGCAAATATCGGCCCGATATATCGGCCGATCACTAGTAAACGCTCATGTGGTTGAATGCATTCGAACAGCCACAAAACACCATCTACTCTGCCTAGTGACCTAATGAGTAAACATGATGGGAAGCACACTAGCCAAACGGGATTTATACTTTGTCGGCTGAAGACATAAGTTTGGTTTAAAGACGAAAAACGTTCTCTCTCCACTCATTTAGTCATCTCAAAATCCAGTCAACAAACCAAGTCCTCACCCTATATTCTTCCCATCACAATACCGAAGAAAAAATCTGTTGCTACTTCCATTTCATTGCGACTTTAAAGTCAAGTCAAAGACAAGCTGCTTAAAATAAGCATATAATTACCATTCAGGGGCAGTTTTTGTTGTTGTAACTTTATAGTTTCACACAATGTCTATATTGGGATATCAACGGTCCTTTAACCTTTTTTTCCCCTTGAATATTGTGTTTGTTAGTTGCATTAATCAGACTTTAGACTGCTTTAGTCATGTGACTGAAGTGATATTTAGTAACTGTTTTGAATTTCTTGCCATCTGCATGACTTCCTCTTCTCTTTGCTCTTTTTTTTTACCATCCTCCTCTGTTTCAGGTGACAGAGATCCAGGACTGGAGTGCAGCCAGCCCCCACAGCGCAGCCTACGTCCTCTGGGACAACGGGGCCAAGAACCTCTACCGAGTGGGATTCGAGGGCATGGTGAGCCACCCCCATCACTATACACATACACAAAAGACTGCAGTTAACTGGCCTTTGTGTTGCTACCCACTCCCCCCACCGCACGCACAATGCACCACACACAGACCAGCATCCCATAAGCTGGGCTTCTTTATAAGAGCCATGTGCAGGGCAGGCATTGTGAGGGGCAGCTGGATGAGCTATCTGCATGATAAAAGAAATCTGTCCCCTTTCTGTCTCTTCACAAGAGAGCGAGAATCAACATGAAGACCAATGGGAGTGGCCTGCGTAAAGCGTGCCTCCGTTATTGAAGTGAGAGGCTGCCCGTTCATTGGCTCTTCGAATTTCTGCGACGTCTGAATTTCAGCCAATCTCTTCGCAGTTGGGCTACGGCTTTTGTCTGTTATTGCTATATATCCGTAGGGTGTGCGCAGCCATCTGCCACTGGAATTATTAATTAGATTTGGATAAAGAGGATGAAACACAGATTTCTGTATCATTGACACTGGTTAGACTTTGGGAATTTGTTAGGCACATAAAACAGTTTAAACAAATCCCTCATAATTGTTTTTTTCTGTTTCTTTTTAGTCTGATTTGAAATGTGTGCAAGATGCCAAAGGAGGCGCTTTTTACAGAGACCACTGTCCAGTGTTGGGTAAGCTTTCAAATGTCTCAGATTATACAAATACTTGTAGGCACATATTATTTATGATGAATATGATTGAGTGAAGCGTGGTTGGGTGAAGTCCTCCATTGCATCTTAATCCAGTGTATTGTATAAGGTGCTTCCACTAGGTGTCAGCACTAGATGCTGTAGCTACAGTGACACATTCCAGTTTAAAAGCTCTTTTGGCCCCAATTCATAATTGATTCCTTGCTATCCATGCCAATAACAAAAAAAGTGGTTAACTTAAATTAATTTTTCTTGAAACCTTCAGACATGATCCCACATAGCTCAAAGTCTGAAGCTGTGGTCCCTATGCAGTGTTCACAGTTATCTGTTGAAGTTCAGTTCACTTTACCAAAATGGAGTCATTTAAAGCGCTCTGTAACGCAGAAACCTGCAAACTTGAGTCGAGCATATTGGATTTACAGTGTGATTTATGTTATATTTGTAGATGCATATATAATGCTACCATTTGTATTTATATAGAATATTTAGTATTATAAATTTAATTAATAAAATCTGGAAAATTGCCATACTGGCCATTCACGTGACTTGTGCAAATCCTTTTTTTTGGGGGGGATTGGTGGAGTCTGATTCAGACCAATTATTTATTATAAATACCCATTATATAATACGTCAACTAATGTTAACAAATGAAACCTTATTGTAAAGTGTCACTAATTACACAAAAAATACTTTTAATGGAAGAGTGTATAATGCTACAATATTTTTCTTATAAAAACAATAAAATATCGGTAAAACTTTACAATAAGGTTCATTAGTTAACATTAGTTATTTTATTAACTAACAATGAGCAAAACATGTGTTTAACGTATTTATTAATGTTAGTTAATAAAATTACATGTTTGTTCATGTTCGTTCACAGTGCATTAACTAATGTTAACAAATACAACCGTTGATTTTAATAATGTATTAGTAAATGTTGAAATTAATGCTGTAGAAGTGTTGTTCATTCCTAATTTAGGTAATTAACTAATGAACCTTATTGTAAAGTGTTACCAATCTTACTGCTCTAAAACGTTTGAATGCTAGTGTAGATGTACTTAAGCAGGACTAGGCCACTTCAGAATTTTCAAAATGGTTGGTCACAATAGAATAATGAATACTTGTCTCGGATGATAATGCCCATGAGAAGTCCCTAGCTGTTCCATTGCTCTCTCGATCATCTCTCTCTCTTTCCTCTGTGCCTTTCTTTAGGTGAACAGAATGGAAACAGGAACCCCGGAGGCCTGCAGATCGGAGACTTGGTCAACATTGATTTGGACCTGGAGATCGTTCAGTCGCTGCAGCACGGTCACGGAGGCTGGACTGATGGCATGTTTGAGACCCTCACCACCACAGGCACTGTGTGCGGCATCGATGAGGACCATGACATTGTTGTGCAATATCCCAGTGGAAACCGGTCAGTCACACGGCACATCTGAAAAGACTGTTTACATCATCATGGGCCATATATCAACACAGTTTTCTTTTCTTCTTCTTTTGCTTTTGTTTCATCTTTCATTTATGACAAATCTTATTAATAAGAATATACATTACAATTTTAAATGTGTGTATATACACATTCTACACATCCAAGTAAATAATTGGTAATACATAAATAGTAATAAGTAATTAGTAAATCAGTGGATCAAGAATTTACAACAAAAGAAACACTTCACAAAAAAACAACAACAACACGAAACTGCTTTTTTTTTCAATCTCAATATAAGAAGTGTAACAATTTTTAGTGCTGGGCAACGATTAATCGCGATAAATCACATCCAAAATAGAAGTTTTATTTTAAACACACACACACACACACACACACTAAGAGACAGCTTCTTAGTGCTGGTTGAATCCAAAATAAAGGATTGCGTTTACATAATATATGTGTGTGTACTGTGTATAATTATTTTGTATATACAAATACACACACATGCATGTATACATTAAAAAAAATGTGTTATTTATATGTAAAACATGTGTATCTATAATATAAATTATATAAACAGTATATACATGCAAATATTTCTTAAAAATGTACATGAGGATCCATGAATTTCCTTTTGAGTTGTAATGAACATAGACTCCTGTGTGTGTTCTAGGTGGACGTTTAACCCAGCGGTGCTCACCAAGGCTAACGTCGTTCGCAGCGGAGAGGTGGCGGCTGGAGCGGAGGGAGGCAGCTCTCAGTTCCTGGTGGGAGACTTGGTCCAGATCTGCTATGACATAGACCGCATCAAACTACTCCAGAGAGGACATGGAGAGTGGGCTGAAGCTATGCTGCCAGTGAGTGCCACCTACCTCATCCATAAAGGGATCTACGACTCTTATTTACTCGCGCTCATGTCATTTCAAGCCTGTAGGACTTCGGTGGAACGCAAAAAATATTTTAGAATTTTTTTGTCCGTACAATGGAAGTCAATCAATAGCAACATTTTTCAAAATGTGTGTTTTGTGTTCTGCAGAAGATGTACTTATGTCATATAGGTGTCGAACTGCATGTTTGTGAATAAATGACACAATTTTAGTTTTTTGGGTTAAGCATCTCTTTAAAGATTACTTGAGATTGTCTACGTTTACATGCAGCCAATAACCTGTTCAAAACCGGGATATTAGAAATAACCCAGTCGCGAACGGCCAAGTAAACACCGGCAAAAACCCGAATAGGCTCTTATCCCGGATTTTAAAAACCGGAATATTATACCTGGGGTACCCCTTTTCTAACCCGAATTTTTGGTCATGTAAACGCGTATCGGCATATCCCCATAGTGATTTGTGTTCTGCGCATGTTCTATTCGCAAGGAATTTTGGTCTTTTCAGTAGGGCTGAACGATTTTGGAAAATAATCTAATTGCGATTTTTTTTTAACCAATATTGCGATTGCGATTTAATATGCGATTTAAAAAAAAAAGTTATTTACCTTCTGTATTAGTCGACAAAGACAAGCAATAAATCATTGTACACTAAGGATGGGAATCTTCCGATCTACTTTTTTTCTTATTAATTAATCTTAATAACTCTTAAAATATGTATTTAATTACATGTGTAAAAACACATACTTTAAAAAATAAATATAAAAAACATTGAATTAAACCAATTACATGTTAAGAATTTTAAATAGGCTATATAAAATAATATAGCTTCAAAATATAAAAGCTAGTAAATAAAGAGAAACAAAAAAAAAACAAACATTACAAGCAATAAACAAAGAGTGGTCTCAGTAATTAAAAAGTAGGCTGTCTGAATGTTTATCATTCAAGAGCTGGAGTGATTTCCCCTCAGTTTAGATACGATAAGCTGCTAATGCATATATCTCTTTTGAAATTGTAAATGTGGTTTGTCCTGTTGGTTTAAGATATAACTGACCGTGTTTACATCAATTTCGCGTCATAAAAGCATTTTGACATGCAAGTACATTTACCAATGAGTCGCTCACGGCCGCATGCACGAGCGCTCTTCACAAAGCACGCGTTAGTATTTTAAAATGAAAGCAGCCTTCTCAGTGATTTTCATGGTTTTAATATATAAGCCAACTGCATTCCAAAAGACATAAATAATGCCTCTGTGAAGCATTTGTAAAGAAAATTCCCGCGGGAGAGAACGCGCACTGCAAGTGTAACGTTATAACATCAAGCAAAGCGGCAAAATGAAGCCCGCGAATGTCCTTGTAATTCGGTTCAATCCCGAACTTTATGAAATAACGTTACTATGTTTTGGAAGGTTCGAGCGGTGTCGTGTGTGTGAGTGAGGAAGAGAGAGAGCGAGAAAATAGAAGCAAGCAGATTCAGAACACGGTTCGTTTCTAAAGCACGCGCAGCGTCATCACGCATCTGTGTTTAAAAACTAAGCTCAGACTCGATTCTGAAATTCTCTGAATCGATCCAGGATTGTTGAGGAGAGGAGAGAATAAATAACACAATAAACTGTTCTTTTCTGGACGCCAGACCGCGTAGCGTGGCAAGTTGATGCTTTATCTTGCAGACTGCTTTTCTCTCGCGTGTCAAGTGACCAATGTAATCGCAGCTCTTGCGATTACAAAATCGCGTTTCATCATATCACGATTTTATCACAAATGCAATTAATCGTTCAGCCCTACTTTTCAGTAGAGAAACTTCTCGGTGCATACAAAAATCTGCGTCCAGTATACCGTAAGTAAACATGGCAAGACACAGCTTGGAGCGAGCTCAGTAACGTTACCAGCATCAAAGAACAAACAAAGGCAATCGCTATCTGCCACGAACTGTTCATTAATCGTGTGCTGCTGTTGTTGTTGTCTTTGGATACAGGAAGACGAATCGGAAATGACGCATATTGCGTCTTAAAGTTGTCCGTACGTCTAGACGCTAACCGGGCGTCGCCGTTTACATCGGGATATTGCAATTCCATGTATACAGGAGAAACTCTCTCTGCTCACGCATGTAAACGGGTTATTCCTAATGTTTCAGAAACCCGAATAGTGACCTCAACCTGACCATAACCCGAAAATTGGCTGCATGTAAACGTCGTCACTGATTCTGTGAATGTCTAACATTATATTACTCTTTGGCTGAGTTATGAGAACATGGATATATTTTAGCCATTTTTTTATATAATAAGAGAGAGGACAAAAAATGAACAGGATTAGGAAATGTTGCTGGATTTAAACCTGTGTTATCCGAATTGGCACCATTGCGACACTAATTACTACGACACAGCTAGTGTTGAGTAATTAAAGGGATAGTTCACTTTGAAATACATTTTTAATATGTTTGAGCTTACCTCAAGGGCATCCAAGATGTAGGTGTCTTTGTTTCCGCGGTAGTTTCTGTTCTTGTCAGGCATATAATGCAGGTCTATGGTCACCACCTCAAAGAGCATGCACAGAGAAGTCCAAATTAAACATGATTTATTGTCTAGTAAATGTAAGTACACATTGATGGCCTAAGACACGAAACGAGCGGTTTGTGTGAGAAAACAAACAGTATTTATATCGTTTTTACCTCTTGTAACCACAGCCGTGTCCAAGTAAGTGGTGACCATAGACCTTCATTATATGACTGACAGACAAAAAAGGGTTTGAGCTAAAAATATCACAATTGAAAATACTGTGGAAACAAAGACACCTACATCTTGGATGCACTTGAGGTAAGCTAAAACATATCAAAAATTAATTTCAGAGTGAACTATCCCTTTAATTTTTCTAATGAACCTTTTTTTTTCCATACTGAGACATCTGACTCAAGTCTGCACAGAAATATCTGAGACTAATGAACAGCATAGTCAATTGTTCATAATTCAGAAAAGACATTTACTACTACTAAGCATCTTAAATTTCTCTATTTTGCCCTCAAATAAAAAGACCCGTAAATGCAGGCGATGATGAGACCTCATCATTGTCATAAAGACCCAGTCTGAGGCTGATGAGCAGTAAATTGCAGGCACTGGGAACCCACACTAGCACTGTTGTTTTATTTTATCTACCGGCTGTTTCGAGCAGCTCTGCCTCCTGAAGCAGTTGATGAGATGCTGTGAGTGGCATTAGTGTGTGCTTGGTTTATATTTCTTGGAACGCCTCCCTTTTGTTGTCCTCAATGGACAAAGCTTAGATTTCCAATAGCTTCAGTTATGAGCCATATAGATGAGAAATGGGTCCTGCAAGCTTAGGAGCCTTTGGGTATTCTCTTTTTTTAAATGAGCCAATCTCAATTTTAAAAGCAAGACCTTACACTTTATTGATTTTTCTCCCCCGACCACCACATCTCTCGCTCTCCCTCCACTGTGCTCAGGATGTAGCTCTCAGAGGGGCGTTTGTACCTGTGCGTAAAGAACAGTTCGAACACAATGTTGTCTGGCATTCCAGACATTTCTGAGCTCTGAGGGAAAAGAAAGTGTGTTAAAAGCAATGAATCTTGTTTAGGACAGTCACACACTCACACCTGTGTTTTCTTCTGAGCAGACTCTTGGAAAAGTGGGCAGAGTGCAGCAGATTTACTCTGACAGCGACCTGAAAGTGGAGGTGTGCGGGACGTCCTGGACGTACAATCCAGCTGCTGTCACTAAAGTGGCTCCTTCTGGATCGGCTGTTACTAATGCTTCTGGAGGTAACACACACACATAAATACATATACTGGAGAGGATAGTAAATATTAGTATATATTTAAAACATTTTGGTCACTTATTCCCATGAACACCATTTGTGATATTTCATAGATTTAATGACTTTACTAGTATTATTGATGGAAAAGTGTGGAAAATTGTAATAACGTAGAAAGTTTAGGTGTGTGTATATATATATATATATATATATATATATATATATATAGATATAGTTTTTACCCAATATGGCTAGTTTAAAGCAATAATTATGTAATATTGCATTGATTATTATTAAAGTAATATATTAAAATGTTAAATACATTTATTAAAATTGTAATAATTTTACTGTTAAATAGAGTACTTTTTACTTTTATAGAACAACTGTAAAATTACACTGCTCATACCCATTTCTTTAGTTTCAAAAGTTAAACAATCAACCTTTTTTTTTTTTTTTTGGATAATTGCACTTAGCCATATCACAGTTATGCTGTATCATGCCGCCCTAATTTCAATATTGTGACATGAATTGATTTGCCAGAGGATGAAAGTGTTCTATATTTCAGTGGCGTTCAGTCAACTAGAAGCAGGCATCAATCCATCAGTCATCGTGTAATGTGCATGACACTATAGTCCTTCTCTGCCCTCAGAGCGCCTGTCTCAGCTCCTCAAGAAACTTTTTGAGACTCAGGAGTCTGGAGACATTAATGAAGAGCTGGTGAAGGCCGCCGCCAATGGAGACCTTGCGAAAGTAGAGGACATCCTGAAGAGGCCGGATGTAGACGTAAGAGTTCTACCATAACACACGTATTCAGACACCTTCAACGTTTCTCACATTATCACAGTTTATTTGCTATAGTTTAGAAAATGGTAATAAAATATGACAAGAACTCAAGAGTTGTCGAATCAGTTGATGTGTCACTGGTTTTGACCGTCCTTCTGTTACTGTGCGTTCACACGGACGCGAATAGCGCGTCAAAGTCACGTCTACCACGTCTAGTTTGACGCTTGACCACTTTGTGTCAAGAGTGAAACTGACGCGCGTAAAAACAAAAGTTTGGAGCGAAATTTCTGCACGTCAGAATCGAAATCCGTTGGCGGCCATTTTTTTATGTCGACCGAGCATTCATTGAGAGAGTCACCGCTCTGTATTTGCTCTGGAGAGCAGAACACCGGCGTGGGGATCATCGTCGCCGTATTTGTGTCCACTGGACCCTTTGGAGGTGAACCATTTGGCGAGTTTTACCATTTGCTCGATCCAGGAGCTGCGCCTGGATGACGGCCGGCGTCAGCGGTGCTTCCGTCTGTCCGCGTCAAACGCGTGAAACGAAATCATTCGCGCTTAATGCGCCAGATGCTCAATTCGCGCAAAATTTACACGCGAATGAGGCGTATTCGCGTCTACCGCGCCGCGCTCTACGCCTCATTTGCGCCGAAGTGTTTTTGCATTGACTTAACATTGAAATCATTCACGCCTGACGCACTATTCACGTCCGCTGTGAACGGACCATTAGACTGTCAACTGAATTATCTTGAATATCTGTCAGCTGTTAAGTTTAAAGGGTAACTAAACCCCTGGTCAGAGCCTGACTCCACCCACTGGCAATATTTGAAAGTGCTGAAAAAGTGGGCAGACCCCAGCGGAGATAGAGGGGACGAAATAGATGCTGAAACACTCTATCCTGATCGTTTTCAATACTCACAATTCCAATTCCTGACTCCCTACAGTGGTTTTGACGACACAAGATGTTTTTATACTGCCAAGGGCGTAGCTCGCGTGGTGAGCTGAAACCTGCGTACGTCATGAAGTGCGGAACATCTAATAGGAAAATTCAACTGCAGTATCCACCGTTCAACCTGAAGAGGGCAGCACTAAGACGTTTTTACACCATATATTGTAGACATGGAACACTTTATAAACAAATGCCAAAAAAGTTACTCGAATCAATGACTGGTATTAATAAAGATCCATTCTTACAGATCATTAACTAAAAAAAGTTGGTTAAGCGTAGTTACTCTTTAAGTACACAGTTTGATGATATAAACTTAGCTCAACCAAACTTAGCACAACCCACAACCACAATACTTACCACAATTGCATTAGCAATTAAAAAAAAAATAAATAAATAAAAAAAACGCTTAAGCAAAACATGGTCAGGTCAAAGTGCCAAATTTTTATACATTTTACAGGTAGTCCACTGTATGAAGAATTTTTTTGGTGTGATATGTCACGGTTTACTTTTTTTTGCTATCCTCACTTACGTTAATTAACTATAGTGTCCTGCACCCACTAGTTGACAAACAACAAAATCTGGTTTCTGAATAATTTTTGGTTTGACTGTACATTTTTCCCAGCTGTACACACCACAGGTTTCCTAACTGTATTTGCTATTTAGTCATAACTATGCCTGAATTTGCACACCCACAACAAGCTCAGTAGATTTCCATAGAATTCAAATGGATTCTACACATCCCCTGCATGTTTATTTCTTATTTTGGGTGGTGTCTATCATTTTTAACAAACCCTGCCAAATTATAGAATTTACAAGAATACTTAAAGGAAAATTAGCGTGATCCTTGTGACAAGACCCTGTTCGACTTGATCAAATAGGTGATGATTTTTACATTTTAAGTCAGAATTGCAAGTCAGAATTAAGAAACCTATATAGAAACCAACATACTTGTTTTCTTTGAACTGCGGCACCTTAAGTTTTTACCGAAATCTCACAGATTTGTGAAACATCAAGCTAAAACAATGAGTACCTAACATGCTGAAAGTATTCAACAGTAGTTTGTATGAATACATAGACCACTTTCATGCTTTAAATGAGACTGAACATGATAATCAATCGAATTTACTCTGAAAGGAAGTGTGTGCCTTCTCTCTGCATACTCTAAAGCATGGTTTGCGAACAGTTGACGAGCGTTGCTTGTGTGTGTTTCAAAATGAAAATCAATTGACCACTCCTGAAATGTCTCAAAGCACTTGGTCTCACCACAATAATGATGGGGAAGTGTAATCACCACAATAATGATATGATTGTGCCAATGGTTGGACAGCATGTGGACTACAGGGAAATAAGGGAGATGTTAATTTGAGTTTTGTTTGGTAAAAAGTGACACTAGACGCTAGAATGCGGTCCATAATGAACATGTGTGAAGGCATTGTTCCTTGAAATGTTTTAGCTGGATCCCCATGGTCTTTGAAGACTTGAAATGTGAGGGAATTTTAAAATAGGGACTTCCAGGCCAAGAAATTCTGAGCGGCAGAATGTGTCATAACCTCAAAATGTTTTTTTTTTTAATGATTTTTAATGATTTTTAAAGTCTTTTCTGCTCACCAAGGTATTCTCAGCATCATTACTCCAGTCTTCAGTGTCACATGATCCTTCAGAAATCATTTGAATATGATGATTGGATGCTCAAGAAACAAATAAAGTTCTCATTATCAATGTTGAGTATCAATGTATTATCAACAGTTATTTACATTTTTATATCAGGATTCTTTGATGAATAGACGGTTCAATCGAACAGCATTTATCTGAAATCGAAAGCTTTTTTAACATTAAACACTGTTGTTCAAAAGTTTGGGGTCAGTGTGAATTTTTATTACATTTTTTTGATGGAAATAAAAGAAATCAATACTTTTATTCATCAAGGATGAATTAAATTGATCAAAAGTTTCAGTAAAGACATTTATAATGTTACATAAGATTCTATTTAAAATGCATGCTGTTCTTTTGAACTTTCTATTCATCAAAGATCCCTGAAAAGAAAAAAAAATGATAATAACAATAAATGTTTTTTGAGCGTCAATCTGCATATTAGAATGATTTCTGAAGGATCATGTGACACTGAAGACTGATGCTGAATGATGCTGAAAATTCAGCTTTGATCACATATTACATTTTAAAATCAATTTAAATAGAAAACATTTATTTTAAATTGTCATAATATTTAACAATAATACTGTTTTTTTTGTTTTTGTTTTAATCAAATAAACGCAGCCTTGATGAGCAGAAGAGACTTCTTTTAAAAACATTAAAAATCTTACCGATCCAAAACTTTTGAACACCAGTGTATATCAATCTTTCCCCTCACCGTTTTGGTTTATGTTGGTGCCACGGCTGACTCTGTCCTCTACCGCCCCTCACTCGACTCGAGTAATTGCTTTGAGCAGAGGGAGGGATGGGTAGGGAAGTCAGATTGGCTTGGGTGACTGGCCAAATGATATGCTTGGCAGGACAAGACATGTCCTGCAAATACACCAGGGGCTCCAGTATTAATATTCATGCCTTTGCACACTTGTTTAGCTCACCGCAATGCAGATCACAATTAGACTCTCATGTAAACACTCATACACCTTTTTAAAGAATGACACAAAAATGCATATTGCACGATGTGATCAAATGTGTCTTTTTTTGTTCCCCAGGTGAACGGGCAGTGCGCAGGACACACCGCCATGCAGGCAGCCAGCCAAAATGGACATGTGGACGTCCTCAAACTGCTGCTGAAACATAATGTAGACCTGGAGGCCGAGGTTTGTGCTTTTCCATTGCTTTATCCGGCTCCTGAATCACCTCTGCTTCTCTGTTTACCGTTTTATTCCCCCCTAAAGATTATTACATTTAGACCAGGCCGAAATGTGCCGTCATTTAACTCTCTAAGATCTTGCTTTTCATAGTTCAAACACTTTTAAACAGAAGTTCTTGTCAAAAGTAGACCTCATGGAGCTACTTAAAGGTGCAGTAAGAGATTACTGAGAAACATTGTTGGTATTCGAGATCAACCCAATCAAACACGCTGCTCTCTTCATTGCTCCGCCCCCAAAATGCAGAACTGAGGAATCCTTTATTGAGGAATTGAATTAATTTAATAATTGATGGTCTTTACAGAGGAACTGAATCAACACTAAACTGTCTTCAGCTTTGCAGTCGAATTGGACTGTTTCTGTTGTCGCTGTGAGCTGCTTTGTAACGATCTGTATTGTATAAACACACATCACGTCTTTTGCGCGTTCAAGTTCGTTATGTAGGAGCGCGGTATGCGCTTATAATGGAAGCAACGTGGTCGCGGTACGACACGCTCGTTTTTTCCAAGTGCGTTTACGCCACATCGAGATAAAAACATCTCAACTTTAGAATGATGAATGCTAAAGTTGAATGCCGCAAGCGCACCATTAGCGCATAGTAGGTCACATGACAAGAACCAACCAGAGAGCAACCACTCTCACGGAGAATGTGGCGCGTCCAGGATTTTCTATGCGTTTTTTGGCGTTGTATGTAAATCCGGCCTAAGGGTGACTTGACTTGGCCCCCACAATCCACTTTTACAACGTTTCTCAGAAATCACTTACTGCACCTTTAACCAGCTTATAGAAATACCACTTTTCCTCGCAGTGTGACTCGTTGGATTGAGTGAAATGTTTCCTTTTGTGTCTGTTTAATGTGCTAAGGTAAATGTTAGAGACTGTTCCACAAAACAAATGCTAAAAATACTGTCCTATTCCAACTTTTATATAGAGACCGCTATAAAATAAGCCATTTGTCGGTTGATTCCCCTGGAAAGTGTAGACACTATGTCTCTATTAAAAGATTACTATTTTCAGCATCGCACACAAGTATCGCAAACATGCATCATAATAAAAATCAAATCTTAACAGTTTCTCATATTTATTTATTTATTTAGTTTTTAAACGAATGTTTCTGTATTTAGTTGTATAAAGGCTATAACCTGGCTTTGTAGGGAAAAAATAACACACACACACACACACACACACACACACAGGATGATATTCAGAGAGCAGTGTCTATTTACACTGAGCGTAAATAGCCTGTCTTGTTGGCATATGTTATTTACTTTAACTCCACCCATCAATGTCTGGTTGGGCAAAAAGGGCACATTTATTTTCGATAAAAAAATTAGAAAATATTTGAAAAGTGGATATAAAATGCCTAGCAAGTGTTTAATAATAGTGTTTATCACGTATGGTTAGGGCTGTATTGTCCCAATAAGACGTCATCCATTTAATAATTTAATCATTTACATAAATAATCATTTACACTCTGTTTATTATTTCATCCTGTTACTGTACATTACAGATACTGAGTAATGGTATCTATAAATGGCATCTAACAACTATTTGCACTTACTGCAAAGAACTGCTACTTTATACAGTGTTAATATGTATTGCTATTTTCACTTAGCATCTCGCTAAGGAAAATGGTACTATTGACACTGTAAATAGCCACTGCCGCGTTTTAACCCATGGAGTGATTTTACTATTAACTTCCGCTTATGAAATGGCATTATTGTAATAGGAATGCTAAGTGAAATAAGTCTGTTTATATTTACAAGTACTTCAGAGGCCGTTTGCCGTTTTATGAGGATAAGTTAACGTTAGCATGCAGTCAGCACATCTACTGTTTGATTATGTGCAGGGAGGGAAAAAAAACAGGACACTGGGAACATTAACATTGTTATTCAAGCCACGTGAAGGGCTCTCCGCTCACAATCACAATCAAGCCCGAATATTTATTTCCTGGTGATGTTTCAGGGGCAGAAAAGATCACACATGCTACTGTGAATGCTGTTCGCTTTGTTGCATTGAAACCATTGTTACAAACTTCCACAAATCACTTCATTCCCCTTTTCACTGGTTTTGTTTGGTTGTCCGTATATTTTTTAATCTCATGAAGGTGCAAATTAATATTATTTATATTGGCAAATATTACATACAAATATTATAAATATATACAAATTGTATATATATCTAAATGGCTATATACAACCTAAAGTTGGCAAATTCTGCAAAGTCATTCAATTATATCACTTAAACATTGCGGGGTTGTGCTCATTTTAACCAGTGTTATTTTAGTATTATTTATATACTGTTATAGGATTTATAATTTAGTAAGAGCTTATATTTTATTTAGGGCTGTCAAACGATTAATCGCGATTAATCGCATCCAAAATAAAAGTTTGTGTTTACATAATATATGGGTGCACTGTGTATAATTATTTTATATATATAAATACACACACATGCTTGACCATTTTTAAGAAATATTTTCATGTATATAGATTTATATATAATTAATATTTTATTTAAATATAAATATTGTGTATATAAATAATATTTTTTTCTTAAATATACATGCATGTGTGTGTATTTATATATATAAAATAATTAAACACAGTGCACCCACATATATTATGTAAACACAAACTTTTATTTTGCATGCGATTAATCGCGATTAATCGTTTGACAGCCCTAATTTTATTTTATTAAGTTTTTTCAAGTGTGTAAGATAATGTTTATTTCAGTTTTAGTTTATAAATTTAACTTTAACTAATTTAACTTGAATTTATGTATTACAGTCAGTTGCCAAGGAAACATTTCTAACATTCGTTAGAATTATTCATATTTTTAGTTATACATAACAATAACAACACTGATGTTAACTTTTCCTGGCTGAATGTTAACAAATCCTAGTCCCTTTATAGGAAGTTTTATGGTTTAAATGATGTTTGTATTTCTGTTAGTTTCACACTGGAATTCTTTATGAAATATTGTGATCCTGTGGAGAAAAGTCCAGTTTGGGCTTCTTGGAATGAATAGATTATTAGGCAAAGGTTCATTTATGGCTGCAAATCACTTTTAACCTCAAATTAATTAGCCATAAGATTTACATCATTATAAGGCGGTTGCTTCAGTAATGACTTCGGGTCCATAAACATTCCTCCGTGTTTTGACTTTTCTAGGCCAGTTCTAGTTGTAAAGGCTTTAAAGTCAGACGCTGCTTTAAGTGGGGAAGCTGACAGTGATTGATGTGTGACTCTTTCAGGATAAGGATGGAGACCGAGCTGTCCATCACGCGTCCTTCGGGGACGAGGGCTCCGTCATTGAGGTTCTGCAGCGAGGCGGAGCCGACCTGAACGCCAGAAACAAACGCAGACAGACGCCCCTGCACATCGCTGTCAACAAGGGCCACCTGCAGGTGGTGAAGACGTTGCTTGACTTCGGCTGCCACCCCAGTCTGCAGGTGAACGATCTGTCCAAGTGTTTTTAGCCCCCAGTGTCTCCGTACCTCTTGGTATAGAGAGTGAACCAAGAGTGTACAAGCACAACAAGAAGCTAAAGTTTAATATATATATATATATATATATATATATATATATATATATATGAAGAGTTCAGATGCAAAAGCCTCTAAGTGCCATTTGAAATTTTCTTCTAAAATGATCATTTTTATCAAGCTTGTATATTTAAGTTCAGTAATTTCACTTAAATGGCAATGAAGATTTCCTATTAATTGCCATTTAAGTGAAATTACAGTTATTTTTAACCTTTTAATTAAAAAATTAACATGTATCTAATTTTTATCCAAATGAATTGATATTTAATCAAGATCAGAATCAAATCACAAGATTTGAACTGAAATCGTGAAATTTGAATCAAGCAATAATAAAAACAGTAGCCAACCAGTTATTGTACCATGTAAACATTATAACATGTTGTCACTAAACTTAACCAAATTCTGTTTAGTTATCGAAAATTTTGACAATCACAATATACTACACCGAAAATGATCTGTGTTTAGACAAAGCATATGTTACATACTGCTTAAATGTCCCTGCTCTCTGGAAAAAAATGTTCAAAATATTTTTTTTTCATGAGCATACAAATTATTTTATACTATTGTACTGTTGAGACGATAAAAACTTTGCAGTAATGCAAATATGTCATTATTTAATTTTGTAAAAAAATATTATTTTAATTTGAAAACACTGTGCATTAAGTTGTTGTTGCTAGAGTTGATAAATACACATTTCAGCATTATCACTAATCTGTGTGCATTTTCCAAGCAAGAACCAAGCGAGTTGTCTCATGAAAAACATTTGTTTATTATATATTATATCACAATCGCAATATTGACCTCAATAATCACAATATGACATTTTATCCAAATCATGCAGCCCTAATATATTAGAGAGAGAGAGAGAGAGAGAGAGAGAGAGAGAGAGAGAGAGAGAGAGAGAGAGAGAGAGAGAGAGAGAGAGAGAGAGAGAGAGAGAGATTTGTTGGATACAAATTCAGAATTTCAGGAATAAAATGCATTGAAATGGAAAACAGTACATTTTAAATAGAAAACAGTACATTTTAAATTGTCATATTATTTTACAATAATACTGTTTTTACTGTATTTTGATAATATAAACACAGCCTTGATGAGCATAAGAGACTAACTTCAAAAACAAAAAAAGTATTAATGATTATAATTTATATTTGATAAAGGCCATTGGCAGATTTTGGACAATAGTTCAGTAATCGATATTGACCGGTGCAGAAAATCTCAAAATACCAAAATATTGCAGCAATGAGGTATTGGCTTGATTTATATTGGTTCATATCTTTTATATTTTGTAGAAAATTCAGTACATATTGTCATCTCAAGAATGATTGACGCAGTTCTTCAACACAGTCTTATATTTCAGTTTTAGCCCCCAGTAAAATGTTTTTTTTTTCATAAGCTATTGCCACAATTTTGAAACCTTTATTTGATTAGCATAGTACTGTCGCCGTTTTCCCAGGTGATTAACACTGCGGCACTAGATATTTTTTCCTCTATTCAGCAGTGAAACCGTGTATTGCAGTTTTACCATGATTCAGCGCTGCTTTGGTCAAAAGCTTAGGAAATGCCGTCACACTAAACAATGCAATGGGATGCCAGCATTTATGATCATGTTAGTATTTCTGTGGTAACGGTACATCGCAGCCTCTTTTATTCTCTGTCTGTCTGTAAATAAACCTGCTAGGCATTATATTAGCGTGTGTAACTTGAGGCTGCCTCCTACAGGACTCAGAAGGAGACACACCGTTGCATGACGCCATCAGCAAGAAGAGGGATGACATGCTCTCTGTGCTCCTAGAAGCAGGTGCAGACGTCACAATTACCAACAATAATGGCTTCAACGCGCTTCACCATGCGGCTCTGCGAGGGAACCCCAGGTATGACTTCAGATGTGGCATAACTGAAATCGGGCTTCTGTTTAGTGACAATTATGCAGCTCTGAATTCACCTCATATCTGGGGCTGGTACAGATCTAATTTGAGATCTGTGAACGCAAAAGAAATCACTTTATCTTGCAATTGATTTTTTTTTATGTCTCATACTACAGCACAATTACCATTGTAGTTTCATAAGTGGTGATGCCCACTCACATACAAACTACAGTTGGCGCTTTGATTGCTATTCTCCTAGGAGCTGTAGAAGATTCTGTGTTATCCTCCTCTTTAACACACACTTTTCTTTACTATCAGCCTGAATGTCCAGATCAAGCAGTCAAAATATGCCTTGTGGTTGTTTTAAATCTTCATGTCGTTTCCTGGATCTATGGCAAACTTTTTCCACTCTTTTCTTACTTTTTTCATGGAATGGTAGAGTAATTCCTTCTGGTGGAATTTGAAACTTGTCGAATCTCTTTGAGCTGGAAATTTAGTTTTTTTATATAACTACTGATTTGAGAACAAATGCACGTTTGAAGCTTTACAAAAAAAATATTTGTTTTTAATATGGTTATTTACAGTATATCTTAAGCTTTAGAGTGCCAAACATTTAGATTTTTAAACTTTTCTGCTGCAAATATTCTAATTAGGGCTGTCACAATTCCTTGATTTTAAAAAAATAATCATCCATTGCAATTTAACCTTATCAGTTTACCGGCAAAATACCGGAAGTGGCACAAATCCATAGATGTATACACTAGATGTCGCCTAGGGGTTCTAAGCATGCGTCAAAAACGCCGCCATCTTGGAACAGGGGTCTTGTCATTGGAAGTAGCTAGATAACGCTGCTATCTCCCCCTGTACTTTGAATTCACAGATGTTCGCACTTTTGTGCTGCGTATGGATTTTCACATGAACGAAATCTTAACTTTTTTACATGTTTTGTTGAATTTTCTCTGGACTCAATGATAAATGCATGTCTGACCGTTGGAACACTAAAAAAACCCTAGAAAATCACATTCATGACGGTTTAATGTGATTTTATTTTCGTTAGACCTTTGCCTACATTGACGCTTTTGCATTAAAGTGGAGGGGCTCCCTGTTCCAAGATGGCGGCTCTAATGACGCATTCGTTAGAATGAACTGCCGTAGCCAATGCGACATCTAGTGTATATATCTATGGCACAAATCGCAACGAACAGTTGAAACAGTTCGCATTTTTTTAAAAAGTTGAAACTCTCCCTCTGAGTTTGCATGTTTTGATGTTCTTGGTTAATAAATTGCATTGGCTGTAGCATTTCTATTGTGAAGAAGTGCCAAATATTAAGTAGATGTTTGAATTAAATGTTTTTTTTGTTTTTTTTGGACCAATATTAAACAAGGATTTGATCAGAGTGTAACAACAAACCGTTTCCGCCCTCTGCTAGCTTTGGTTATAATGTGTAATGTACATAAGTTGATTGTTTATATTATGTATATTACATCGTGTATTTGAAGAGTGTTGTTCAATAAAACCATGCTTTTGATACCTTATCTGAACCATTTATTATTGCCTCAGGGTTATTGTGCTTATGTATTTAAGTCATTTTAATGGTTATCGTTCACTTAGGTTTATTTTTTAAATAGCCCATAAAAAATTATCCGATTAATCGTCAAAATAATCGACTGATTACTTGAGAGTGACAAAAAAATCATTGGTGACAGCCCTAATTTTAATAATCCAGTGATATTTTTGCATGAACGTCCTACAACATTATATTATTCTAACGTTTGCAAGCTTCTGGGAGCATTTGCCACAGTTCTTTTATGGATTTGGAGAACTCAATTGCTTCTATCTCTTCATGTAATTCCAGACTGACTCTGTGAGATCAGATCTCTGTCTGGGCCAAACTTTCTGTTTGTTGAAATAAAAATCTGGATTATTACAATATTTGCAAATGGATTGTTTGTAAACCTAAAAGTGAGATTTCCCATTGATACACTAATAACCATTTAAAAACATTATTGTGAAGCATCTAATCTAGTAATAAGACTTTCTATAGCTCAGTGTAAATAGTATTATTGTAATTAATAAAGGATTGATTTGGTGCACCTTGGGGGTGTACCTTTTGTGCAGTACAAAATTGTTGTACAGTTCAAGTTACAAATGCCTCAGTGAAATGATCAATCTTGACTTCAATCTCCCAATGGCAATATGGGGATCCTTTTTTATTGACTGTGCGGATGAAGAACTGCCCCGGGTCAGTATTTATGGCTCGCATGTACAGTAGAGCCTTGCTTAGGAGCAGAACCTGTCCCTTCACCATCCGAAAGTCCTAGAGATATATAGCTCTCCTCCAGCTCACCATTTACTTGTATTTCTTGCACGAGCTCTTCTCAGCACTCTTTCTTGTCCCGAAGCTACTTCTAGCTGTAGAATAGACCTATGTATGCATTTACTAGCTCTGAAGACTTTTAGTTACACCCTGCTTTCAAACATTACATTTTCTTAATTTAATTTAATCCACATGCATTTCTCAGGACTTGTCTAATTGAAGACATTTGTACATGTAGCAGTAATGATAAACACATTTTAATTAACTCAAAGACACAATTTTTATCTGGCAACGCAGTATTGTCCACTCTTTCATAGTATTCCTGTTAATCCATTTTAACCAGCTGTTGAATTTAATCACAGAAGTCTTTAACATGTACTGATGTACATCCATCACTGCTTTCTCAATTGTTTAGCCTCGGGGGGCTTTAATGATTGCTTGGTGAAAAGCAAAGTACAGTCATAACCTTAAAAAAAGGAATTTTAAACATCCAGACGAATCATACAAACTTTGTTCACACACCGTCTTGGTATGTGCACTTGATTCTTTAAATTCGCACTACTTCGACAGTTAACATAACTATGTGAAACAATAAACCACCGGTTGGTTATGGCTTTTTCTATGTAGAATTTTTATTTTTATTTCAATTCATATTGAATATTCATTGAATGATCCCCATAGCTAAACATTGTAAGTTTGCACCCTGGGGGTTGTCGTAAGTGTTCATAAATTAGTTTGTATTTTCCTCCTCCTCATGTGTTTATGACAGTCCCTGGCTGAGAGCAGGACTGGTTCCTCTCAGTGACTCTCTGGATGGCTGCTGGAAGGCAGTTGTGCTCCAGCACTGTAAACAGTACAGTTAATAGCCCATGACTCATAACACTGTCCGCAAACAGGCCAACCAGACGCAGCCACTGCATAAGCCCCTATTACTACTGTACAAATGGGCCTGGTTGTTCACCGCCACATGGTGTCCCACCCTCAAATGCTGCCTCTATTACTGCTGCTTAGTTTGAGGCTTAGCCAATAGTCCCATCTAATTCTGACTGTGGAGCCCGGTGTGATAGGAACAGAATTTGGCACTTATAAAATGATTGGTCAATGAGCCGTTTTATTTGTCTGTAGAGAATATGTAGAATATGAAAGCCAATGATCAGCACAGATTATTATAGGCTGTTTGTGCCTCTGCTGTAGATCCACATTGCCAGGTGCATTACCATTTTCTTTTTTTTTTTTTTTTGTAAAAATGGAGTAAAAGTAACATTTTGAGCCAATCTGTGGATTTATTTATAGAGACCTGGGTCAAAGTTGGTCTTTTTCGTCTTGTGGTAGTTAACAAAAAAAAAAAAATCATTTTATTTTTCTGACTGCAATATTTAATTAACAGTCAAATGATTTTTTCCTAATAGGAAAAAATTATACATGCAGTTTTGGGGTCAATGGCAGGGATTATTTTTATTGTTCAAAAATACATTAAAAATGGCTGCCATGCGTACATAGAATGACTTGAATTTAACGGTACTGATTACGTACTGATCTTGATATTGTAAAAAAAGTTACTGGTATGATTTTGGTCATATTGCACACCCATAATAGTAGTAAATAATCATGATTACAATGATTCAGGTACAAAATTTCTTGCTAACATAACATTTTTAACCATAATTCAGTAGCCCTGCCCTGTGGTTTTCCACCACAATAAAAGGATTGTGCTTTATGAAATAATAATAATAATTATTAGGTTTGTGTTTTCCTTCCATTTTTGTCCTTTTCTGACCACATACCCGAGAATACAATTCGTGAGAAAGTAAACCGTATGTAGTTTAAGGCATAATCTTTTATTATTTTATGGACAAAAACTGCTTTACTTACTTACATTTGAAAAAATGACACGGCACGGTCCCTTATAAAACATGGTGCGACTTAGAAGTGGGTGATATACCGGTAGACACGATTAACCGGTAGAAATTTTGGACTATCGTATCGTGGTTAAGCTCATGTGACAGCGTCTGCTTGCATGGTCACGATAGCTTATTGTTTGCATGCGTTTTAACCATTGCGGATTAAAAACAGGTGATTTTAAACCGTTGACGCTCCATTAGCAGTGAAAGAGAACTCATTTCAGTATATGCACACTCTCTGAGAGACTGTTTCTCAGCGCTGTCTGAGAGACGTGTGACATGAAACCATGCTTATAGAGCATGTGAAAACTGATCCGAGTGATTTTGCCACCTAATTGGGCTTGAACGGTTAAATACACATACCTATGTTTCAAAGTGACCATGTATTTACAAGTAAACAGAGTCATTTATGGCTTAAGTGAATGTAAATGCATTAGTACGTACTTTGTGCAGTCGTCTTAAAGTGGCAGCATCCAAATTTACCTGCTGTCATTTATTTGTGCTAATCAAAAAATGTCAAAAGAGAGAAAATCTTTCGCTGCTCTTGAAGGAATCCCTTTAATAAGATTTTTAAAATTTTTATTTAAAATGTAAATATTTATGCAGTATTTTTAGTACAAGAGAAGTTTTTCAAGTAGGTCTATTTAATTTGTATCTTTGTTCTAATCACCTTTTTCACCTTTGTTGCCATTGGCTTTTGGCTTGCGTAGTTGGGGACATTTAATTTAATATTCAACAATATTATTGATCTGCCTGCTTTGACACCATTATATGAGAAATGAACTGAGCTGGACGATGACATTGCGGTTTTCTCCAGAGCGGATATATATATATATATATATATAAATGAACTAAATTAATAACTTTTTACAGCAAAAAATTAAACATCACTGAACTTAGTTAAGTTAGACTGTTAGACCGCTATTTTCTTCTGGAAACAAACTTTGTGACTTGACTATTGTAGTTGGTTTTCTTAGCTTTTTCTTTAACACTGTTTACTTGTCTTCAGTAAGCTGATGATATTGAAAATGGTGATAAGAATTATATTTCAATGCCATCACATTTTTTTATATCATTAAAACCTTATTTAAAGCAAAAATAACTATCGTGATATAATAAATAAAAATGTTGTCGTAAAAAATAAAATGACTCCTATTGTGACATAAGATTTTGGTTATATTGCCCAGTGCAACTCATTTATAGAAGTGAATTAATCATTCATATACTTTTTGAAAAATATATCTTAAAATGTTTTTTAGGTACACCACACTTTTAGTTAAAAATAGTAGAATCGTTTTTAAAAGCGGGAAACCAACACGAACTTAACAGGATTGAATTCACCTTTTGTTTATTGTGCCCATTTTATTAATTTTTTTGCCATTGACCCTTTTATGAGCTCATTTCGTTTGTCTCACTCAGGATTTAGGATTAATATAAGAAGTAAAGACAAAAGGTGATTTTAAAAATCCTGAAAGAAATAGTGACCAGGTACAGCACTTAAAACATACATCATTACATATAAATATGAACCTAAAATCTTGATGTTGGAAAAAAAAAAAAAAAAACTACCTCTGTATATAATGGAAATGGATGGAGGTGCAGAGCAGGTTCAGCATGACATGGTGGCAGATCAGCGTAATTATGGGTGAAATTATGATGCAGCCTTGCCATCCATGTGACTGAGGGAAGGATGCTGCTCTGATGCAGAGGAGAGGGAGGTTCACACACCGCATGCCTGCGCTGCGTCAGTGTGCCAGGGGGCCATAATTGGTGGACTCTCTCTGTATATGATTTGTGTGTACAACCCCCCACACTTAGAATCATCTGGTTTTCATCCCCACTCCCGTCTGCAGGCAGAGAAGGGTTACCGAGAAGCACTCAGGCGACCGTTCCCGCATGTGTCGCAGTGAGCATGTGCTGCAACTGCTCTCCTCCCCACTCCCTTGACTTTCTTTTCTTATGTGGATGTCAGTCCTCCTCTGCTTAGCCCAACTTTACACCCCCATTGCGTCACAGTACCTTCTTTTCATATCTTGTCTTTGCCTGCTCTCTGATGGTGACTGACACATTCATATTTTAACCCACTCTTTAAAAACACAAACTTGTAAAACCAATGCTTGTAAAATTTTATTTCTTAAAAAAGAAAAGAAAATGTTGAAAAATGTTCAGCTTGTAGAAAAGGCAGTCACAATACATAGTATTAACATTTATTAAAATAAACTTTTTCTTTGAAATTGAACTATGTCATCTCGGTTTCCTGCGGAAGCAAAAAAAAAAAAAAGGCAGGATAGAAACAATTCATGTTGTCATCAAAGCATAGCTACAGCTGGTTGAAGGGGACCAAATCCATTGAAGAGGTGATTTGGTTCCATTTTACCAGCTTTAGCAAAGCATTGTGGTTTGCTGTTAATGAGACTGATAGGAATCACCTTATGTGACCCTGTTTTATAACCTCAAGCAGTTAAACTTTGTGTAACATGTCAAGCAATGTCGCATGGGCTCATTTCAGACTGTTTCTCTATACTTATCCAATAATACATTTCACTGCACTCCAGAGGTTTTCTTTATCGTTATTAAAAAGAGAGAGAATCGTGCTCAGTGAAAAAGATAATAATCCATCATGGTGCACTCAAATCGAGTGTCCACAAGTACAGCTGCTGATGGATTAAGCCTGCCGAGGGCAGAGTGTCGCTTGGGCGATCAAGATGTCAGCATGTGCTGTTTTTTTTTTTTGTAGTTGTCACTTTCTAAAATTTAAAAAGATTCAGTCATACTCGGCTACATTACTGGGCTAATTTGTGGTGGGAGCGCCCCTGAGACTGCTCGTGTGGTAATGCTGAAATGACTAACACAGATATTTGTACCACATGTCAGTCACAATCCGAGGGAGAAGCAACTCCACCAGACAATTCGGTGAGCTCAAGTCAAAGCGTTGTTTTATAACACACAGTTTAGCTCCTTAGCAGGTGGCCATCTGAGAGTGTAAGCAAGGGGTCATTGCTGCTCAATATGGCGCTCATTAAACCGGGGGCAGTAAAGTGCTATTTTACTCCACAGATCCCCCTCCCTGCATCACACGGACACTTGCTTGCGGCATTCTGGACAAAGTTCGGCCCCTAAATACACTGGCCATAAGAGGGCAAAAGCCAGGGATAGCAGCTGAACATTTGATAATGTCAGCATCTGCTGTGGGTGTCACTCAGGCTGGGGTTGAGGGCGAGAAAGAGGGAACACAGCCATACGACTGACAGGAGCGAACCATACAGCAAGCGGTGCACAAAAATGGAAAGAGCACAGCCCTACAGAGGACAGACGGGAGTGTCTGACATTCAGAAAAATGGGCCACAAGCTCTCCCAGGCTCCAGTCATGACCAAAAACCCTTACAATGCGTCAATTACATTTTTCCTGGCCTGTAACGGGAGGTTTAAAACGGAAGTGTTTATCGGACAAGAAATTGCAGGTGCACTCTGACCTTAGTCATCACCACGAATCAAATATTACCTCAACAGATAGATGACGCGGTGCACTGCCAAATGCTTGAAGTAGGTTCATTAGAATCCTTAAGTGCAACTGTCCTTGATTACCTTATCCCCTCACACATCACCTGTTGATCAGCTTTAAAGTTCAGTTTTGTTCTACTCAGGCATTCATTCTATTGTTCACAGTGATTGCTATTGTAACCTGCTGCACACCAATAGACCAACAAATGAAAGGGAACATGCTTGGATGTCCTCCTCTGAAGGCCTCCGTCTACATTTTGTAAAGGACAATTGGAATCAGCTGACAGGCAGACCCCCTCTGATCCTGCATTGTCACTTTTCCATGCTCTAATCTGACTACTCTGGTCCAGCAAAGCTTTTGGCAAGCCTAGCAAACATGAACAATAGGGGCATGAACGGGTGGCAGGGTGAAACAGACCACCGTACTATCCCGCAATGTGAGAGAAGCTTCCTTTTAATAGCCGAGTGCTGCTCACCTTTATGGAACTGTTACCTCAGCAGCTTCCTTGTAGCAAGATTACCCAGAGTTGTCCCAAACTTAGCCTCTCTAGACAAGTTTGAAACTATTTTGGTATTAATGGTTCTGGCGTATGCCGCTCCTGCAGTACAGGATCTTGGTTGCAGCTGGCCACAAATCAAAGCCTAAAATGCCGCAAACTCCAATAATGAAAGGAGCTCCTGTTCCTATGGCGATGTCTCGGGCCGTCATTGGATCTTTAAGGTCGCAGCGATTAAACCCATTCCGTCGCCAAGAAAGTGGGCCCTACAATCCATTGTTTTAATGTTTGTTTACCTGCAGCATGCCATAAGCTTGTCAATTGCTGAATTAGGGAGGGGTTGGTGTGGATTGCTGGTGAAGTCACTAAAAGAGCAGCGACTTCTCTCAGAATCCACTCTGCACTCCAGTTACAAAATTACATGTACCAAAATTCAGTGATGTAGAGAATCATGGCAAAGTTTATAAACTGAGGATCAGTGCCTGACCAAGAATACATACTTCTTTACATTCCATAGCTGTTATATGTTCATATGGGCACATAAAGAAGTATGTACACCAAGTAGGCAGCCCCCGACACAGCTGAGTTTCCTTACCTTTTCTGATTTGATGTTTGGTTAGCGCAGCCCTTATATAAACCAAAAGCATATTTAATCACCGTCGGTAGATCAGTGGCAATTCTTTTAACCATTCTGCAGAATGTAGTGGATTAGCATTATACACAACGTCACTCTCACAGTTTCTTTAGGGTCATGCTTTCTTTTGCCCCATCCCAACACTGTGTTACCAGTATGCATTACACATGTTGGCGTTCACGCAGTATTGGATCTTCTGTTGACCTCTGAGAGTGTGGGGTATCCATAGGTTAAGTTGGAAAAGAACAGTGCCATAGGTTTCTTTTGGAAAAAAAAGTTTAGTCTTTTTCTGTAATTGGTAAAACTTGTCCTCTTCCACCCTCGTAGCCTGTATATTTCTTTTGCTCTCCGTGAAAGTTCAAAGGACATGTTTAAAAAGTTGTAACACTGTCCTCAACACAGTATGTATCTCCTTTCTCCCTGTTTCCGTGTGGTTGTCCGTTCTTTAACCACATTCTCAGTTGAATGTCAGCCTGGTTGCTGAGGTCCAAAAATGAGGTTGATCCAAGTGGAACAGGAAGCTATTGTGAGCAGGATTTGGGCTTTAGCCACACAGACCAGGCCAGAGGTCACATGCAAGAGCTAATGCCCACTCAGCAATAGTGATTTGGAACTAGTGTGCTGATTCTTCTTTCCTTTTTCTTCTCTTTTTAACCTCTTCCTGCAACCATACCTTTTTTCCCCCGAGTTGACCTCGGTCTGTTCGTTCTAGAAGCTTCTCTAGAGCTCTAATGCTATGTGCTAGAGATCAATAACTGTTTGCATGGCAGCATGAAATGTTCAGTAGCTCTCTAATGAATCTTTGCTCCAGCTCCACACATTCCACAAGTCTACACCGCCCTGTCTCATCCCCCTCCTCTCAGGAGCCTATCCAATACCAGGCCAAAAGGAGAGGCGCATGGGTGGAAATATAACAGAACACTTAGACAGGCTATTCTGAGCAGGGGTGGAAATCCTGGGTGAGTTTGGTGCTTGACGGGGTTAGATATGATGGCGAGGTATGGCTGGACTCCAGTGTTAGTAAAGATTTAGGGATGAGTGTGTTGAGAGGGGGAGATGGCACTGCAGCACTACAGCCCTGCCCCTGCCTAATGATTGGAAAGCATGCAGAGAGAAATTGGGTTACTACCCTTGGTGTTGTGGGTTCACTCACTGACACACATATCAGCAGCCCTCCCCGGAGAATTAATATGCCACCACGTCTGTTTTTTTTTCATCAGTCCGATTCACCCCCCCACCTGGCCTGAAACTCGCGCCTCACCGTGACACCAACGTCCCTTCGTGGCTGGCGTACACCTGTCCCCCTTGTAGTTACAGAAGTCTTGAATCACCAAACATGGTTCCAGTAATTTGAGCAGAAATGAGTGTTGGCGAACCATCCCGACAGTCGTATTCCATACGAAAGTGGCTCGGAGTGAAAAGATCCAAGACAAATGCTGCATGTTTCACGAGCAGGGAGTTTCAGTTACTGAGTCCGTCTTTTAGATGTCTTCCGTGCTGCAGCCACGAGGAGGTAATGAACCAGAGAGTGCTGTGCTGCAGCAGCCTGACCAGCACTGGAAAAGCAAGAGACACGGAGAGAGTGAGGTAGGGCACGAGAGCAAACGAGTGAGCAAGTGACGGTATTCTAGCGAGCAAAGCAAGCAAATCCATGCAGAGGACAGCAACTTTCCCCCCCGTTCCACCTACACCTGTCTGTCGGGCTGTTTCACACTTACGTTTCCTGCTATGTGTGGTGTTCCCAGAGAAGTAGTTTTTCCCCTTGCTGCTGCAGAGCTGTAAATTCCACTCCCTCTCACCGACCACGCGCTTGACCCCCTAGTGCATCCAAATCGAAGAAGAAAAGGCAGAGACGCCAGTGCGGACCAGCCGGCATGGGGGGCGAACTCCCGTCCGGAGGGAGGAAGGCACATGGAGCATATATTACCTGTCAGCTCAGTTTCCTCTGCTCTCTGCTCCTCCCTCTTTCTTCTCTTCTGTGTGTGAAGAGCCATAATGACCTCCAGAGCTCTCCAGCTGCTGCAGCCATCGCATGCCTGACTCGCTGATTCAGCTTCTCTGACAGGGGGTTGGGGAGGGAGGGGGGTGTACTGAACGTGTGGTGTGGAGAAGAAACAAGAGTGGTAAAGCGGGAGGGGTGGAGCCGGGTGAAGAAAGCATACTCACGGCTTACATTTAGGCAGGGGATAGACATCATGCTGACACGAGGAGCTGTCGTTGCTGCTCTAAAAACGGGCAGAAAAAAACTGCAGCACTTTCACCCCCTCCTCCCTCCCATCTCTAGCATGTGCATTCTCAGTGAATTCTGTGAAGATGTGCATGACTGCTTGAGCTCTCTCTCTCTCTAGCGCTTTAGTGTTTTGGTTTTAGGGTTTAGTTTATTTCTGCTCTACATTTTGAAACGGCAGTTTTACACTCAAGCCACTGCCTTCTATATTTCCTTTTTTCATTTCATAAGCAAAATTTATAAAGTGGAAAAGTAGCTGTTCTAATTTGGAAACAAATGTACGTCAACAATCCACCAAGCAAGCTTGCAGATACCTGTTTTTAATTCAAAACCATTTTTACACTTTTCTTAGTAAACCTTATCTAAGGTGTTGCTTTCAGAAACTCTCAATGATGTTCTTGAAGGTGAACGAAGAGCCGCTAGTCACAAAACGAGCCAGCTTTTGCACTTTTTACCATGGGAAGAGTTGGAAAACCAGCTCCTCTTTAGTATCTTGTTCATCTCCCTGTGACCATATTTAGTCAACCAGTGCAAGAAATAACCCCCCTCCTCGCACCGAGGCAGCTGTCCCCCTACAAGCTCTGGGAAGTATCCCGTCCAGCTTTCCACCTATCGATTGTGCATTCAGCAAGGCAAGTAGCTAGCCTGCGTTAGCGCAGCACAGCTTTGCTGGCCTGCTATTCGCTGTGTTATTTTTAGTAGCACCAAATAAAGTGGTCTCTCATGGTTCCACTTATGTTTCCCTCACTCCTTTCCCCTCCCCTGCTTTTCTAACACCCAGGCTCTCCTCCCCTTACTCTCTCCATCTAAACACTTCGTACTCTCGGTTCTCTTTTAAATAGTGCCGGAACATGCTGCATATGGCAGATCTTGCCTATCCTCGACACTATACTTAGTAACATACGCATGTTACGTTTATGAAAAGTCTATAGAGTACTGGAGTGTAATTTGGATCAAACCTGTTACAGTGTTTTAAAGTACACTAGCTTATCTGCAGCTGTCGAACTTGTATTGAACATATGATTTAACTTGGTTCTTGGATATTCCCATTATCTAGTGTGATGTCTCTGTTTAATAATTTAAATCTTTAGCTGTAAATTGTCCTGAGGCTTCTCCTCTCCCATAGCTTACAGCAGTGTTGGGCAAGTATCTGAGGATAAGAGTTTTTTAACATTTTAATAAATCACTAAAAACATATCTCTTGATAAAAAAACAAATTAAAAATTTAAAAAATCAATCCGCAAGATTGTATAATACTTGCAGAACACTTTCTAATCAAGTCTTTTTTTTAAATTATGAAATACTGTTCAATTAATTCACAGTCTGGCGTATTGGCATTCAAATGCTGTCTGTATTTATGGGTGTTATGGAAATTGACTATTTGCCAGGTGTAATGCACTCTGAGTAATACATCAGCTTGAGGCCGAACTCTCAGCCAAACAGCACAATTGAAAAAGACAAAATTTATAGTTCGTGGGACTGCTTGCAGCTAGGGAACCACAAATTCATGAAAATTTAAAAACATCACCCAAAAGCTGGGACCTGAAAAAAATTAATCTTCAAAAAAGTCACCCCTCATTGAAATGTCAAAAAAACAAAAAAACAAAAACAAAACAAGAATAGGGGAGTTTTTAGCTTAAATTGCCCATATTATGATTCTCCTACAACAGGTTTACATGCATCAAAGGTCAAACAATTGTTTCATTTCCTCATAAAGTAAAAGAGAATTTTACCTGCCCAACCGGATAAGTAGCCGGATTAGAACATCAATAACAAAATAATAATGATAATAACTTGGGAATCACTAAAACGAGAGAAATTCTGATTTTATTATATTTATTGTAAAGGCCAATTTATACTTCTGCGTAGGGTGAGCGCAGTAGGTACAGCGTAGCATACGCAGAGACGCGTCCCATACCGCGTACCCTTCGCCGTAGCCTGACGCGCACCTCCTCAAAAATGTAACTACACGTCGCGACGACGCGGACCGCAAGATCTGTGATTGGTCGTCTTGGTAGCATCGCATTTCCTCCTACGCATTTCCGCACGTGCCTTCTCACGCATTTCCACACGTACCATCTCCTCCGACGTCTTCTCTCATTTCTGCCTTTCAGTTTTAGTAATTTCACTAAAATTAACTGTTTTTCCAACTCAATAAGCTCCAAGTCCAACATGATCCGCTCTCTTTCAGGCTTGTAATAACCTAGCCGCACCTCGGGGAATGTAAACAGTGGAACATTAAAACCCTCCGCCGCCAACTAGCGTTTCGGAGCAGTACTGCAGAGCAACCAAGACCTGAACGCAGAAGTATAAATGCTCACAAAGGCGTCGCCTACGTGCGTAGCCAACGCCGTTCAGAACGGCGTACCCTCGACGCAGAAGTATAAATTGGCCTTAAGTTACGATCCATTGTGGATAATAAATGTATTACTGACGGTAAGGTTGTGCTGTTGACGCTTATGCAGCCTCTTGAGGAGAAATCTACACAAATGACTCAGTTAACAACATACTGCCTATAAAAAAATTCAATAAACAGTTCAAATGAAGTCATTTACTTTTTTTTGTTCAGTTTCAGCAGCGAAAATAGTTCCAAACAAAAATCAGTCTCACAGGAACACTCATCCTGTTTTCATTGCTGAATGATTCACCATTTTGAATGAATCGGTTGAGTCAAAGATTCAATGACCCATTCATAAACATCTGTCTCATTCTTGAATAAATCAGCCGTTTGAACAAATCGATGGAATGAATGAATCATTGAATCACTCATTTAAGACGGTCGCCAGCCACTACTTGTGGTGGTTTAGTATTATGTTTAAAAGTAGCATCATTCTTTCCAACGTTTCTTATTTGTATATTTAAATCAATTTATAACATTGTTTTATGTAGTTATAATTTTTGAGTGTAAATTATTTCATTTGATCAGCCCTACCTCAGGTAACAGCCCTATAGCGTCTTATTATTCTAAATAATTGAATTTATTGATCAAATTTAGGAATTTAAAATGAAAGATGAAGGATACATTTAATAATATTGGGGGAGGGGGTGCCCTTTAAAGGTGCAGATATTACAATATGCCGATTAAAATATATCAAAAGTGATTGAACACTGATGAGAATATTGCTTCAGAATAAATTAACACACACACACAAAATCCTTTTTTACTCGGAAGTGAATGACAGATTTGAAAAGGCAGATTCGGACAAGTGAATGACAAGCACATGAAAAGTCGAGCACATCACCACATTTTCAATGATTCTCAAATGACTTGTCAGATGAATCAATCTCTCCTTTCCGCGAGCTACTCTGCTCTGATTGGCCAGACAGTTCAGTCTGTTGTGATTGGCTTACCGTGTACAGTCGAAAACAAAAACGTCCATTGTTATAACGTCAGCTCTGCTTGTCCTGAGGCTTCCTACACTGTAAACAGAACACAGTAACGGACAATGACATCGATTGTACCATATCAATGCGAGCACGAATCCGATGATGAAACACTGGAAGGACTAGTTATTGAACCCTCTAATATATAACAGTAAAAACGTTGAAACGCAATGTCTACATTAGCCATGCAGTTGCGTGAATGACCGATGAACGTTGGTAAAACAAATCTTGCTCCACGTTTAATCTTTCCTCAAAGTAGTGAGAACGACAGACAATCTGCATTAGTAGACACAGTTAATAGTTCAGTAAGACAGTGATAAGTTAGCAGGAGACCAACATAATTTAAAACTCAAAACGAATAATTTTTAACTCCATCTTTCAAGAGCAAGCAGTTTACGAATCCTGCACTGAACTCCGAGATTTGAGAAGCAGTCGTCAGTACAATAAAGGAAACGCAGCAAAAGTTTAGGATTACACTGCTGTGGTATCGTGGTAAAGATGAATTTTAACCACTGATTCTTCACATGCTCGTCCTTGGGCAGTGGGAAAAAAAACTGGCTTTACCTTCACATTGTAGCACACAGCAAATTCTCGACATAATGCTGTCCAGCACCCACAGGAAGTTTTTCCTGGTTTCTGCGCGCGCAAAAAGTTGGCGGGCAATATGCTAATGTTTCGTCTTGACGTCACAACTAAACGGTTTACGAAGTGCACTTTCAGATTTAATTCTTTGCAGGATTTTTCGTTCACTTAGAGCTATGTTACACAACATGAAATTTCATTTTCAAAATCCATAATAGGGCCCTTTAAGGGGTTTTCAACTAAAAATGTAAAAAAAAATTATGCTTTTTTTGTTGTTGGTTTTTTTTGGCTTTTTCGTTTTTGGTGGATGAAATCCAGAAATTTTCAAAACGGTTTTGAAAGTGAAAGTTTTTTGAAAAAGGTTTCAGTGTAAACAATAAAAATTAATCTGTGAAAACGATGACATCATGCACATGCGTATTTCGTGTTCAGTCTCTAGTGTATCATCGCCATCTAATGGCCTGGCAGCAGAATGCAGCACTTTTTATATCGTTTTGACAATGGTGTCTTCTGTATGCTGAAAACTCGAAGGAGTACCGTTTCAGTTTTAAGCATATCGTTGTCGTGTAAGCACACCCTAAGTTTCAATAGTGAGAGGTTGATGAGCTTTGCCGTGACAAACATGAGGAAGAATACCTAAGCCTAATGCCTCCATCAGTGAGGTGATCTATTGGTCTAGTCAGCCGTTTTTTAAGTCAATAGTCTCTTGAGTTTAATTCCACTCATTCTGGGATAGAGGAAGCATACTATGCATACTGTATAAATGTGGGCCATCTAGTTTCCTCCTCTCAGTCATAAATTGTGAAACTTTTGTTGAATAGGTTATCGATCAGAGAAAGCAGGGCCACTAATTGATGACTCC